CTCCCCAGCCCCACCCCCATTCTCTACACAACAGCCCCAGCAAACCTTTAAAAATGTAAATCTGAATGTGTCAGACCCTCCAGGACTCCCACTGTGTTTAGGATAAAATCACAAATCCTCCCAATGTCCTACAGGGCCCGGCAGGGTCAACCCCGGCTTTATCTGGCACTTCCTCTCCGTGCTTCCCTTCCCACTCTCCCAGTTCTTCCTTGCTCCTTAGCTTTGGGGCGTGCCATGCCCCCTGCCTGGAACAGTGCCCAACTCCCCACTCCCAGGGGACTGGGGTCTCCTCCTCCGCTGGTTGCCTCTGGGGGACACTGCCCATTGCTGAATCCCGCGCCAGCACACAGTAGGCATTCCAGAAATATCTTTTCAATGACTCGCGAGTGATAAGACCCTTCTTGGCTCCTCAGTTTCCCTGAGGATGAGGATGAGGCCAATTGACCCTTCTCTGCCCAGGACTGATGGCTTTAAATAGCTCGGACATACCCCGGAGGTGGAAAATGTAGATTAGATTGTAGAATGTGGCTTTCCGATGAGGCCTGGGAGTTTGGCACTGTGCAGAGACCACACTGGCCAGCTCCAGTAAGGTTGTGTTCCTGTCAGACTGGGCCGGGGCCGGGGCTGGATTTGTAAGGAGACGCGGGTGTCTTGTGGGTCTTACCACTTTGCATATGCATTTCCACAAGTCCCCTCAGTATCTCTGCTGTGGTGAGTAAAGGCTGGAAACCAGTGGGCAGTGAGTTCCCCAGCCCTGAGCTCCTGAGCTCCGGCTCTGGCTCCATCGCCTGCCGGCTAGCGGCTACCAACATCACTGTCACAGGTCTCAGTTTCTTCATCTGTAAAGTGGGGCTGCTAATAGTACCCACTTCTCAGGATTGTTGTGAGCAGTCCACAGGCTACTACCTTAAAAGCGTTTAGTGCTTGGCACATCAAGCATTTTGTTGTGGCTATTATTATTAGCAGATGGCACATTCCCGAGAGTTGGGACCTGGTTAGCAGGGCTCTCTCTCTACGAAACCCTGACTTCAAGTACTACTCCCTAGAAGCCGTATTTTTTTTCAACTTTTTGTAAGAAACTCCAAGAAGTGTATGTGATTCATGTTTAAGCCACCGGTGGATATTCATGGACATTCAATGATGGGTGGTGTGTGTGTATGGGAGGGGGGCACTGTACTAGGCTCCAGAAGCCTGAAGATTAGTAGGATCCACTTCTTGTCTGATGAGAACAGACAAACCAATGATCACAATCCAATGGGTGCATGTAGTTAGGCGGCCCCCAAACTGTGGGGAGAGGAGAGGATTTCAGGGTGGTGACAGGGGTCCTCTGAGTGTCTGGGGATCTCTGGGGTGGATGGAGGAAGGCAGGATGTATGGGTGGAATGGCCATGCACTCCCCACCAGGGTGTGAGCTTCACTGGGAAAGACAGGCTGAGCTCTGTGGGTGAGAAACTGGTATGTATTCCCCCAGCTGACTGAGAACCTTCTCTGCGCCAGACCTGGCTGGGCTGGGGGTGGGAGGCACATCAGACCTAGACAGAGCCCCAAGCCTCCCAAAACAGTGGGCTGTCCAGTGGAAGAGACATGACAAGACAAGCATTAATAGCATTCACGCCCCTCTCGCCCTCCCCCTGCTCCCCCACCCCCATGCGCCCCCTGCCCCCTGCCAGAGCTGAGGTATCCAGAAGCCTGCAGGAGGTATCCTGGGAATCAAGCCCTTGTCCTTGGTCTGGGGAGAGGGCAGTCTCCAGATCCCTAGTGGGGGTGTGGTCTCTGGAGATGGCATCTTCAGCCTGGGGGTTGGGACTGCATGCCCTCCTCCCTTATCCTTCAGCAGAGCCTTTTAAGGGGGTGACCCTCTGACCTCCACACTGTTCCCCCTCACCCTCCAGCTAGAAGTCCCTAGGGCAGCAGCTTAAAGAAGGAGGGCTCCAGAGGCCTCAGGTTAGCTGCAGATGGGAGGCCAGGATTGGGCCTGAAAAGACTCTGGGGTCCCCTGGGCACTCCTGGGGAGCTCAGCCAAGGCCAGGAGGCCTGAGTCAGGTCCATGGGAGTGTAGCGCAGAGATGCGGGTGCCTGGCCCAGGACAAGGGAGGGGGCGATGGGCAAAGGGTTCAGTCAAGGGAGCAGGCGGGGCATTGGGAGTCTAGGGCCCAGGGTGGGGGTGGGAGGGCGAGGGGTCCGGCCGGTGCAGGGGAGGGGGGCGCCCCCGGGGAGGGGCACGCTATGTCTTTAAGAGCTGCCTGAGCGCAGGTTGCAGCTGCCTGGCCAGCCCGAGAGACAGCGGAGATTCATTACCCGCCGACACAATGACCATTGATGGCCCCGTGGCGTTATTCAAATCCAGTACCAATTGCAGCCGAGCCCCTTTCTCCGCGCCAGGCCCGTATTGTTGGAGCGGCCCACTAAAAGCCCGCCCCGGCCCCGAGCCGCCAGAGGCGCCCGCTCGGGTTCAGCCCTGCGCCTCGCCAGCCCGCCGGCTCCCAGCCCGGCTCCCCGGGCGCTGCAGGTGACCCGGCGGCGCATTCCAGCGCTCCCCGCCGCCCGGGCCACCGCCGCCACCGCCACCGCCGGCCGCGACTCAGCCACAGGGAAGCGGAGAGCGCCGGAGCCGGTGCGTGCGGGGCTGGGCGGGGGCGGGGACCCCACGAGTCCAGCAGCCCGCACCCCGGGCTCGGAAACGCGACCCGGCCTCGGGCCCCTGCTTTCCGGATTCCCGGCGAGCCCAGGCTGGGGGCGGGGAGAGGGGAGTTGGGGTTCCCCGGCCCTGACAGAGGAGATTCCCCCGACTCAGGGCGGCGCAGAGACCCAACGCGGGCTACTCTAGGGACCCCGGGCCGCGATCGAAGGAGACACACGCCAGGGGCGATGGGGATCCCCACGCAGGGTCGGGATCCGCGTGCTTGCTCGTCCACCTTACCGCGGGATGGGCCGCGACCGCTGAGCGTCTGCGAGGTAGTCGGACGCGCAGCTCCGGAGATCTCCTGGTCCGGCGCTTTTAAGGAGCCAAGCGGAAGCCCGCACGCAGGAAACCGGGGCCCCGAACTCGGGGGCTTCGCCACTGATTGTCCAAACGCAATTCTTGTACGAGTCTGCGGCCAACCGAGAATTGTGGCTGGACATCTGTGGCTGAGCTCCGGGCGCAACAGGGGCGGAAGCCGCAGGGACCGAGCTCGGCGCGGGCCAGACCCCTCGGGGAGGCGGCTGGCTGGCCCCAGCGCGAGGATCGCGGCCCCAGCCGGGAGCGCAAAAGAGGGACGCCGGTCCCTGCCACCAGCGCCGCCATCCTCATCCTCGTCGTCGTCGTCGTCCTCCTCCTTCTCCTCCTCCTCTGCGGGTGACCAGTCGTGGCTGGCGGGGGCCTCCAGTCGATCGCGTCGTTTTTCCCTTTTTCAAATTTCGGCCGGGAACGAAGCTGGCACGCCGCGGCGGGGCATGACTGTGGTCCGGGGAGCCCGCCCTCGGCCCGAGCCGCAGCAAGTCGGGGGCGAAAGAAGATGCCGGCGGAACGCGCTCGCTAATTCGTTTTGAATTGGTTTTAACCTAGCCCCCACCAATGCCCCCCAAACAAAAAAGCCTAAACCAACCCCTAAATCCCAAATAAACCGACCCCTCCCGCCAGCCCCTCCAGACGGACCGATGGGCTGAGCCTCCTCCAGCCGCAGCAGGAGTCAGGAGTCGGAGAAGCGTCGAGAATGATGCGCTCCAGCCGGGCAATCGCCTCGGCTTTGGAAACAACTTGGACAAACGAATCCTTTTCATTAAAGACAAACCTTCGGAGATGGTGGGGTTTACTTATTCGTTTATTTCCTCAAAAGTGGGGGTTCAGGAGTTGTGGGGGGGCAGCTGGGTGTTGCCGGGGCTGAGCCCAGGTCACCTGTTCCTGACCCCCATTCCGCTGGGGACTGAAAATGACCCACAATGCTGCAGAGCGGGGCTTGGGCCAGTTTCAGCGATGGTGCTGGTATCCCCCACCCAGGAGAACCTGGTTTTCTCAGTGTATCCTCCTGCCCTACTCCTCAGCATTAATTGGGGTGCCCTGGCAGAAGGGATATCCCAAATCTACTCTCCCTCTTCCCAGTGCAGGCGGGAAAGGAATTCTATCGTCCTGTTTCCAGGACTTGGAATCCCAGGTGGGACAATGGGCCACTCCAGTGGGGCTGGAGGCAAGGAGGAACCTCCAGGATACAGGAATCAATGAGACTGTAGGGGGCCATTTCAAATCCCTTGCTCCGTTCCCTAACATGGAGACCCTAACCGCAGCACCTAGTTTTCGTTGGTCATAACAGCCTTTCTAGACAGCAGTTGGACCCCAACACTGGCCTTAATTTGCACTCAGACCAGCTCCTACCCATAACCCCAACATGGCTGGCCCCCACCTACACATACCCAGAGGGTCTCTACCCGTAGATTGCTGGAGAGAAGCCCAGAAGCCAGGGGTCGTGTGTCCTCTAGGCCTTGAGAATGATGTGCATACACATCCCCTCCACCCCCAACACTGCTGAGACAACCATTTGGCACTTTCATCTCCACAGGAGAGAGGTTCTACCTTAAATTATTGACATTTAATGAAAAACAATGTTTTGGGTGGGATGATGTTAATGCCCTAATTTTTTTTTTGAGGTTTTTTCCCCAGTGAAGTTTCTTCTCCAGGTCATGGGAAGGGAGGTTCAGCAGTTTGAGATGACACCCCCATTCTGGTTTCTGGGGCTGCGGGCTGCAGCTGGTGGGACAAAGCCTGGCCTTGGACAAGTAGAGAAGTGTCCTGGGACCCAGACTGGGCAGCACAGACAGGCTCTGCCATCCCCTTCTCCAGATGGCCCTCTCAGACCATTCTCTCCCAGACAGTCTGTGTAGTCTGGGTTTGAACCCCTGCCCTCTTTTTGGGTGAAGGGCAGCTCTGAAAGTCCTAGGCTAAGGGCAGAGAGGTTGGACCAGGGACCATGGCTGGGGGGATGTGGAGTGCCACTGGTTTCTAAGGATGAAGCTCCAGGCAAAGCTAGTAAACACCCTAGTCTTTTATTTGCCCAAGGCCAGCTGTTGCAGGCAATGAGGCCCCAAGACTTCCAGAAGGGATGAAGGGAGGAGGGGCAAACCATCCTGCCTACCAGGTGCTGCCTGTCCCCACCCTGCTTCCTGCAGGAGGTGGGAAAGGAGATAAAGTCTACATTTGTGCCATCAAGGATCACACCTGCTTTCAGATACTTATAAACATTCAGTTGCTGTTGAGGAGGAAACTGAGGCACTCTGACATCCCAGGCCTCTATGTGCCAGTCCAAGCTTTTGCCTGCTCCTCTTTCTCTCCAGAATGAGCTGCAGGCAGCCTTTTGCTGGGGGAGGGTCTTAGGAGCCCATCTGGTGGCCTGTGGGGGGGGGGGAAGGCCAGCCAGGGTCAAGGGCTGGGGATGGGGGAGCAGGAGGAGGGTGTGGTTGGACGAGCAGCTGCTGGGAGGGGGGAGTCAGCACTGAATAGGGGACCCCAGCTGGGGTTCCATAATGGTATCAGTGGGGGACAGCCAGAGCCCTCTGCTGTCTAGATGGGGAAACTGAGGCAGAGACTCCTCCCATCTTGGAGAAGGGAGGGGCTTCCTATCAGCTATTCCTGTCCATTCATCTTCCCCACGAAGACACTACAGCCCGGGAGCTGGAGTGTCTCGTTAGTGGTCACTCGATGTTTAGACTGAGACACAAGGAATGGAAGGCAGCTGGGTCACCTGGCCAGGGAGCCCCCTCCTGTTGTGACAAAGCAGAGGGGCACCCTCCCCCACCTCAGCTGCTGGGGAGGGAGGCAGGGCTGAGCCTGCCCGCCCCCACTCACGTGCCTGAGAAAGGCTCATTTTTAGCACCTGGCCTCTTTTCCCTGCCTGGAGGGAGCTCGGGGGACAGAGCAGGGAAGAAAGCAGCCAAGAGGGACAGGGAGACCTGGAAGCAGGGCCCCAGGGGATGTCTGATTTTGCTCTTCTCCCCACGCCAAGGGAACCCGGGCCCAGAGCGGGGCCCTCAGCCGCCATGCAGCGTGGATATGAAGAGGATGCTGTCCTGGTCCTGCAGCTGGTAGTCCAGCTCGCCCTGGTCCAGGAGAGAAAGGAGACGTCAGGGGCTTCTCCTCAGCTGTCGGGAGGGGAGAAGGGGGCTTGGTCGCTTTGGGAGAGAAGGATAAAACCTACCAGAAAAATGGGTGCCCTGCATATTAACCTGCCAATCTTCGGGATGGAGGCGAGAACACCACTTCCCCCAGCTACCTGTTCCTTCCTCCCTCGGGTGGGAGACTTGAGTGGCCCCACTTTGGAAGCCAAGTGGGACCCGGGACTAGCCAGCCAACCCCGCTGGGCCTGAGGAAAGACCCAAGGCTGTCCTGGGGAAGCAGTGAGGGGAGGGATGTCTCCCGAGGTACTGACCAGCAGTTCCCAGTCCGCATCGTTAACCAGCACCAGAATTCCTGGCCGCCTGTGGGAAAGAGGGCATGAGGAGCTGGGAGTGAAGGGCAGGAGGCAGTTGGCAGCAGGGGCATAGAGGCTGAGACACCTGGGCTGGAGGACAGTGTGGTGGGAGCTTGTCCTCCTGAGGTTCTGATGAAAAATCACCCAGGAAGTGGAGGGGACACTGAGTCTAAAGGAAACCAGGCCAGACAGTCGTAGCTTTTCGGGTGATACGGAAAACGGGTACAAATTCCAGCACCACCTCCTAGACCTCAGGCAACTCATTTTGTTTCTCCGAGCATCAGTTTCCTCATCTGCAAATGGCACAAATTACGCAGCCGTCCTCCCAGGTCTGCGCCAGAATGAGACGGGACGATGCATGGCAGGCACCTGCCTGCCTGTGTCTACCCCTGTAACCACTGGCAGCAGCAGTTTTCCAGGGCTCTCACCTCACCCTCCTGGGCCTCCCGCAGGCCTGTCCTGGAGATGAGGCTATCTTGGCTCTTCGGAACCAGGGAAGGCTGCCCGGGGCCTCAAGCACCCACATACCCGAGAGCAGCCCTGCCTGCTGTAAGGCAGGGGAGGCTGACATCTGGACAGCTACCCGCCTGGCAGCAGCCCAAGGAGCACTACTGTCCTTGGGGGGTGGCCTCTGGGACGGCAGGACCGTGACCTGAGCCAGGGCTTGAACGGCAGCCTTAGCACCCAGGGCCTGCTGGTGACCTCCGCTGCAAGGGGATGGTGACTGGCTCCCACAAGTGCCTTGCCCACCTCTCTTACACCTTAGGCCTCCTTCTTGTCGAAGCAGAGTGACTTCTTGGCTGTGACACGGAGTGTGGCTCTTTTCCCAGGAGGCCAGGCTAGGTCCGGGACAGGTCCAGAAGCTCTGGGCTAGGGGCAGGGGTGTGCTCACCCCAGTGAGCACGAACGTGCGCGTGTGTGCGTGCACCTGCGCACAGTGACTCCCTGGGATTCTAGACCTGTGCCCTCCAGGACGGCATCTAGGAGGCACCATTCTCATTTCTAGGGCTCAACGGACTCATGTGCTTTGCAGCTTCTACACTGGACAGCACAGAATACACAACATTTCCATCATCACAAAACGTTCTACGGGACAACCACAGTCCCAGATTGTCGAGGGATGCAAGGGACTGTGGGCAGCATCTTTTTCTCAGGACTTCCTGTACGGAGAGAGTAGCTGAGGCCCAGAGACAGAGGGAGGATAAAGGGGAGAACAGGACCCCAAGAAGGCTGCAGGTGAACCCAAGGATAGGGGCTCAAACCTCCTTCCCCCCTGCCCCCGCCTGCCCTCCTCAGGGAAGGGAAGAAAGGGACTCACACGCTGTCTCCCTGGATGAATAATTCTGGCCGCTCTTTTAGCAAATTCTTCTTGATCCAGACAAGGAGGTTCCGGATGTCCCCTAGAGAGGAAGGCACAGAACAAGCTCGTGTCAAACCCCAATGATTCCCGGCCCCCAGAACCTTGCCTGGATCAGAAGGAAGTGAACATGGGGCTCAGAGGCCTCTTTTAGACCAGGCTCTTGTGACCCCTGGACTTTCAGATTCCCAAAGTGAGGAAGGGGGCTAGGTGACCAGCATCCTGCCAGAGAGGCCTTCAGAGAAAGTGGTGCTGCTCAAGGCTTAAAGAGGTGACGGGGCCTCAAGACAGACAGGCTTCTGAAGGGCCCGGCAGGACCCCCTCCACCCTTCTCTCTCCAGCCAGTCCCAGATGGGGAGGACTCAGCTTTGCCCTCAGAGGGGTCTGCATATATTTCCCTTTGTGAGGGAAGAAAAACAATTGCTGAGCCGATAACATCAGTTAATTTCCTCTGGCAGAGGGAGAGAAGGATCCTTCACCAGCCAGGGCCGCTGACAAATCACTGCCCCGCTACCCCCACCTTCACAGAGTCCCCCCAGGCCAGGGACGGCCACCCTGAATAGGCAAGAGGTTCAGGATCGAAAGGGCCTCTCCTGCTCAGCTTGGACACTGAGGTCAGCCACTCTGGGGTTCTGGGACAGCCACTGAGCTCTGTGCACATCATGTGGAGGCTCAGAGCTACCTGTCCCCTGGATCACCTCTCCTTTCCTAGGAGCAGGTCCCAGGCCACAGCACACTGAAACCTGGCTCCATAAACACCTCAAAGCCTACAGCCCTCAAATGTCCAACTGTCTCCTCCTCCAACAGACTGTCTCCTGAGGCTGCAGTTCCTTCTCTCCTCGAGACCACTTGAGGACTGAAAGCCCCGGGGAGACAACTAGTCTCTAGGAAGTCACAGGGGCTTGAGGCCAGCCACCTCCATCCTGACTTAGTCTCCCGGAGGGATCGGCTGTCCTGGACCCATGCCTGAGCAGAGCTCAGAGGCGAAGCTGAAGAAGGGCCCAGGCAGCGCCTTGGTTTCTCCATGCAGAGTGACAGCCCCGGCCTGCAGCTGAGGAAAAGGCTGCTTGGCTGAGAAGCTCCGCTCTGCCCCAGTCTCGGCCCAGAAGCGTGTCTCCACCACAGAACCAGCCTCGGGCAGGGTTTTAAGGCATTCTCCCTGACCTGCATGCCACCCTCCTGAGAGGCAGGCAGGCTGCACCCGGGACGGACCCATTCACTCTGCTCCATGCCAACTTCCCTGGAGTGTCCGCCAGCAGAGCACGGGGCCATGGGCAAAGTGTCCAAGATCTGAGGCTGCCGCCTTTCAGTTGTAATTCCTGCTTTTAAACAAAGCAGATTGGAGTCCTCATGGTCCCTGGAGCGGGCAGGGGATGCAGAGTGTAGCCTCCAACTAGCTGCAGTCCATTTGGACTCCTGGCTGGGTTCCTCCCTGAGGCCTGGTCTCAGAGGCTCCCCTTCGGCCTCCATCTTGGCACTGTCTGGTGGGCCGCCAGCCCATACATCTTGTAGCCGCTCGATACAGCCGATGGGGTCTGATGCATCCATCAGCCGGCCGTGGCAGGCGGGGCTGTGCCTGTGTGTGTGGAGGAGCCGAGAGGCACTGGGCAGTGCCTGGCCCGAGGGCCACCAGATGCACCTCCACAGCCCCGGCTGGCCTGTACAGAACCGGGACCCAGTTGGGTCAAGGGCCCGGACTCCCTCCAAAAGGAGGGGGCTTCTGCTCCACTCTGGATAGGCTGAGGGGAGGGGGGAGGGCTAGTGGTCATGTCGGGGTCATCCAAGTGATGGCACCATCATGGAGTCCCAGAGGGGTGGACTGGGGGGTGAGTCTGCTGTCGGTACGGGCTCATTTATCATGATGCTCCTCTTTGCTGAGGTCACTCCCTCCCTCCTCTGTGCCCCCCAGGCCTGCCCACATTCTTGATAGCCTGTTTCCATGGTGAGGTCGCCGTATTGTTCCCCCATGCCTGGATTTGGGGGTGGGGAGAGGTGGAACTCGCTGCTCCCTTCGCAGGGAGGACTTGCAAGGGCCACACAGCCTGGCCTGAAACACACCCCCAGGGACATCTTGCTAGGCTTGCTGAGGCCCAGACAATATGCAAATAGCCTCCAAGCCAGATGGTCGGCTTCCAAAGGCGCCCAGGGGAGGAGGAAGGGTTGAGCAGAGTCAGGGACTGGTGGCTCTGGGGAATCTCCCGTTCATCTTCCCCCTCTAGGTCCTCCTGCCTTCCCACTCCACTGAGGGTGGTTTCTCTCCGGGGATCCCATGTAGTCACTCACAAGACAAATATTTATTGAGCAACTACTATGTGCCAGGTGCTAGGAAGACAGCCAATTAGTTGCGATAAATGCTATCTCCTGAGTGAGGGGGCAGGAAAACTTTTCGGAAGATGTTCGCATTGATGCTGAGGCCTGAAGGATGAGTAGGGCAGGATGGGGAAGCACCCCAGGCAGAAGAAGGCACATACACGAAGACCTGAGGCAGGATGGAATTGGCAGGTTTGAGGTAATAGAACAGAGAAGACAAGAAGATCAGCACGAGAGCAGGCCGGACCATGCGGGGCATGCAGGGGCCTTGTGACAGATCTGCTCTGGAAGAGGCCTCTCCTTCCTCGTGAACCCCAACTGTGCTCTGTGGGTACAGAACCCATGCTGTCTGGGCCGCTGCTCCACGTTTCTCTGGTGACGCTCGGTATCAAGATCCAGCTCAAATGCCCGGCATGTCCTGAGGACCCCGCGCAGTCTCCCACACAGAACCTGCCTGACGTATTTGCTGAAAATGCGGACAACTGCAGAGGGCGGAGGAGAGGTTGAGAACAGAGGCAGTCCTGGTTCTGAGTTTGAGCCATTACTTCCTGGCCCTATGACCTTGGCTGTGGGGTTCTCTGAGCCTCCGCTTCCTTCTTTGGGGGAATGGTAAGAACACCCCACAGGGCTGTTGTGAGGACCGAGTAAGATGATCCATATAAAGCTCCTGGCACATCCGTGCTGTAATTGTTCTGTGACCCAGAGGGAAAACCTGTACCCTTTGCCCTCTCCCAATGTCTTGAGCTTCTGCATACTCTGCTCAGGCCCCTGGCCCCCTGGGGATGGGCTGCGACAGCCCGGCACTCATGGGATAGTGCTGGGACTGGCTGGGGCTTTTCCGAGGGATCCATTACCTCGCCATCAGAAGTGCGAGGGCAATGAGGGAATGGGGGGGACTGGGAATGGTGAGGGAGCCCCAGACACTGGCCTTCCCTCCATTTTATTTATAAAAATCATTTTATTGATTTATTTTTTAAAGTAACCTCTATATCCAACGTGGGGCTTGAATTCACGACCCCAAGATCAAGAGTTCAATGCTCTGCTGAGCCAGCCAGGTGCCCCCTTTCCTCCATTTTAGATGTTCAGACCCCTAACATGCTCCCGGGACAACCAAGGTGGAAGGACTCACATTCTGAGGCTGTGGGGGCCAGAAGGCCGGGCTGGATGGGCACCTAAAACAAGGTCTCCATGAGGAAGTCTGGCCTGCGCATTTGGGGAAGAGCAGGAGTGGGAGCTGCTGTGCTGTGGCAGGGTGGTTAAGAGTTGGGGTTCTGGAGCCGGGAGACCCTGGGCCGCTGCTAGATGCCCTGCGCAGGAAGTCACCTTGCCTTTCAGTCTCAGTGTCAGCCTCTGACAAATGGGGACAGCAATTCAAACCCCAAAGCACTGCCATGAGGGTTCAGGCATAAGGTAGCAGCAGGCCCTGTGGAGTGTCCAACACACAGGACAAATGTCCATTTGCCCACAGTGACTCAGGGCTCCTTATCCTCTTGGCTGCCAGACTGCTCTCCTGAAGGCTGCCGGCAAAGGGGCACCACACACACTACTCTTAGAGAGCACCAACAAAAGCTCCCACCAGGATCGCTCGCCCCAGTGGACTGTCCTTGTCTGGGGACACTGACCATCCACTGTGGCAGGGGCCCTCCACTGGTGTCCATCCTAGCTTCTTGGGCTGAAAGAGAACAATCCCAAGGTCTTATCTGATAATGAACCCCAACTGCAACAGACCCACATCCAGCCTCTCTTTGATCACCTCCAGGGAGAACTTTTCTCCTAACCAGAAATCTGTCTTCCTGACACTCCCAAGGAGCCTGGTTGGTCCGTGGGGACCACACCAACAAAAGCGGCCCCTCTTCCCCATGCCACTCAGATCTGGGAGAGCTGGATCCCCTAAGTCTTCTCCTCCATAAGGTTAAACCGCTCCAGTTCCCACCAAGTCCACCAGGCTCCAGGCTCTTCTGGGAGCCCACCCCAGGCCTTAGTTGAAAAGGGAGAAGAAAGAGCAGGGATGGGGGGAGTAAAGGAGAAGAGAGGGTAGAGGGAACATCAGAGGGTCCATTTACAAGTGAATGGGGGTAAGAATGGAGCAGTTTGTGGGCTAAACTGGCCTCAGAAGGAGGTTTACAGATGTGCAGGGGACGCTCCTCATTGTTTAATTAAGCAGAAAGTGGATCTTTTCAAAAGCAATTTTGCACAGGGACTGGGAGGGGTTGGGGGAGAGGAGGGCAGTGGGGAGGGGATCAGCAAACAGGCCCCAGAGCAGAGAAAGGAACAGCTGGCCCCAGAGAGGCTGTGAAATGCATGCTAAGCAGTTTAAAGCGCCGGGAGCTCCCTCCAGCTCCCTAGCCGGCCACCCTGTAATACAAAGGCAGGGCAGAGGGAGAAGGGCAGGGAAAGGTGAGGCCTACTGTCTCCTCCTGGGGACCAGGGCAGGTAAGGACCACACGGGGACAGTCTGTCTTCCCTGACATTTTGGGTTTGCTCCAGGCCACTGACCAACCATGGGCTGGGGGCCTTGCGTTAAGAGACCCTTGATGTATAAAAGCCAGCCCCCAGTGGCCGCAATGTCCGAAACTGATGGCGCCTACCAACCCCTGTCAATCAAGGAGATGGCTGTTAGGACATCCCCCTCAATAAGCATACCTTCTCACCAACACAGCCTGATGCCCAGAATTATGGGCTCAGATCTGGAAGCAACTTCTCCAAACTGTGGATGTCCAATGGGTAACCAGCTCAATAAAGACTAAATCTAGCCCAACCTCCCGTTTCACAGATGGGAAAAAAGAGGCCCGCAGAAGTAAGTGATCTGCAAATGCGCACTGCCAGGGCTCCTCTTGCAGGCTCGCCCCCTTTGGCCTTGCCCATCCTCTTTCTCCAAGTTGGCTGGGTTGGAAGCTCTCCCCTGGCCCAGGACCCAGGGCCCTGGAGTCCCCTTGTTTGTGAGACTTGTCACAATCCATAATCTTATGGTTGCTATTTTCTCTGCTGGAGTCTCCGAGACCTGCTTGGCCAAGTGGCAGCCCCTGGGCTGGGAAGGCTGCCAGTCGACAGAGCTGGGCACGGGCTGGGGGGAAGAGTGGGACTCTGCTGGCAGCACCCGTTGGGCTCCTGTGTGCCAGGGTAGTGCCTGGCAGCTGGCAGCCGGCTCTGCGGCTGCAGGGTGACCTACGCCTCTGGGCGCAGCAGGGAGAAAATGGGAACCAGGGGTGGAGATCCACAGCCAAGGGCCCGGAGACTGAGTCAAGGGGCCATTTCAGCTTCTCTCCCCTGCTTGCTTTTCTGCCATCCCGGAGAGGGGAGGGGAGGCCCCCTCTACCCACTAAGCAGTGAATGAAGGACGAGAGATCAAATACCTGGGTCTTAGCCCTGCCTCCCTACTTACGTAACTTTGGACAGGTCACTGTCTCTCTCTCTCTCTCTCTCTCTGAGGTTTGGTTTTCTTGATCATATATAATATCCACTGGGGTCACTACAAAAATCAAAGCAAGTAGCTGTTGAAGGCATGAACAAATGAATGAATGAACGAAAGAAAAGTGTAGAAACCAGAAAATACACTGCAGGTGTGAGATGTCATGTGACTCAGGGAGTTCGTGGCTCCATGTAAGGACTTTGGAGACCCTGAAATCTGGTTCTAAATCCCAGCACTGCCATTTAAATAACCATATGGTGTGGACTAAGATGACCCCTGGCATCTCTGAGTTGGGGTTTCCAGTTTTTAAACTGGGAATAATAATGGCAGTTACCACCTAAGAATTTGTGACAATTACTTGCACAACCAACCAGGGTTGTGCCTACCATGCCAAACTCAGCCTGTGGTCCTCATCACACTGGCCTTTCTTCAGTTCCTAGACCACCCTGAGGCCTTTGACCAAGAGGCCCTCACAAGAGCTACCCCCTCTGCCTGGAATGGGCCCCAGCACCTCTGCTCTCCCTCCCAACTTACCAGCCAGCTGCTTTTTACCCTTCAGGCCTTCACCTCAAAGTCATCCCTTTAGAGACCTTCCCTTACCGCGTGCTCTCCTTCAAAGCACCTGTTTGCTCTCCTCATGCCAATGCCCACCACACTAGGTGTTTCCTGGTTTGCTGCCTGCCTCCACTTCTACTACACTCCATGCATCTGTTTTGCTCACCACCAAGAGCCGCATCTGTTTTGCTCACCACCGAATACCCAGCAACTAGTCCAGTGCCTGATACAAAGGAGGCATCAGAACAAGATATGCCAACCCCAACCACAGAGTGAGTACCTCTTCCAGCTGTGGCACATGGTAACCATTCAACCAATGGGCGAATGAGAGGGACTGGAATCATTAACCCTGGGGACATCTGAGCCACGCAATCGCGGGGTAAATGAATCATAACTCATGAGACTTTACTAACTTCCTGGCCAGGTCTTTACGGCTGGATCCTTGAAAGGCTTCTTCTGAGAGCCCCTTGTTCCCTCCCCAGGCTGTGTGGCCATCTGTCAAACTAAGAACCAGTCACCTTTATCTTCCTGGGTCTTCCCTCACCGGGGACGCACACCGCCCCCCAGTCCTGACATTTCACCCCAGCCTCATGCCCACTCCCAGTTCAAGGATGGCAGCGTCCTATGCTTCGGTTAACGTCCCCCGGCTCGGAATGTGGCAAACAACCCCATCCTGTGCCACTGCTCTCCACCCCAAGGCAGGGTCACAGACAGCCTTGGCAGCCAGTGAATTTGGACAACTGTTTGATTCCTGGCAGATGTGTGTCCAGTTCCAGAATAACCCCGTCAGAGCTCATGACCATTTCTCAACTGCCTGCTTCCATGAACCCCATTCCCCTGCCTCCTCACGGGATCGATCCCCCCACCTCCCGAAGTATCTCAGCCTTAGGCGGAGATGGGCTCCCATTCTGAGCGTTCCGCTTTTTTTTTTTTTTTTAAGATTTTATTTATTTTTTGACAGAGAGAGACAGAGAGAGTAAGAGAGGGAACACAAGCAGGGGGAGTGGGAGAGGGAGAAGCAGGCTTCCCGCAGAGCAGGGAGCCTGATGCGGGGCTCGATCCCAGGACCCTGGGATCACGACCTGAGCCGAAGGCAGACGCTTAACGACTGAGCCACCCAGGCGCCTCTGAGTGTTCTGCTCTTGTGAGGACCCACTGCTAGGGCTGCAGGGCACCTCTGGGGTTGTGATGCCCAGGCCCCTGCCTCTAGGCTACACGGATATTTACCCAGCTGGACTCTTGCAAGTTACCTCTTCAACCACTGCCTTCCCCGCCCCCCCCGCCCAGTGTGAAGGCAGAGACTGGCTCATATTTGCATGTCTCCCCAGTGCCTGGTACATGATTTGCCACACAGGAGCTGCTCAGCATATACTTGTTAAAGGATAATGAGCAAGTACTTGAATGGACAAACAAAAACATCTCACTGTCTCCCTTAGTCAACTTCCCCAATCCTTTCTGGCTGGATACTTTCCGCCTCATCTAAACCCCCTCACCATGTGAGCCCATCCACACTGTTCCATTCTTGATGAAGGTGACCCCCTTCACGAGGACACCTCTCTGCTGCCATCGAGTAACAACGGAGATGCATGCTATGGCTTTTAGCACATAGGGACTTCCGTCCTTACCTCATATGTAGGAACACTAAAGCTCAGAGAGGTGAGGCCCCTGGCCTAAGGTTCTAAGGAGATCCAAACTCCCAGTCTGTCTGAATACAGAACCCGCATCTGTAAGGACGAAGCTAAGCTACCTCCCTCCTGCAAAGCTGGCTCATCTTAGAGAGCATGGGGGAAGGGTACTCTAGTGATGTCTCTTCCTTACTCTCCTCTCTCCCTCTGGCCAGGGAAATTCTACCCATTCCCTCTTGAACAGGGCTGAGTGATGCCTTAGATTCCCGCTCAGCAGCCCCCAGAGAGGGGCCCAGAAAGCGCATACTCACAGGGCTCCTCCTGTCCGGGTAAGGTGACCTGATGTTTCTTTACGCCATCGAAAAGGAGTTCCGCGCCGCCTCTGCAAAGGAGGGCCAGAGAAAGACAGCCAGGTGAGCTCCTGCAAAAACTTAGCCAAGACTGAAAACTGAGGAGGGGGCTGACATTAGAAGCTGAAGAGATGCACAGACTGAGGTTCAGGGACAGCTCGAGTACCAGTATGTGACTGATTCTCAAATTTGACTTCCTGATATGGTCTAGTAGGATGTAAATAAGTCCTACCAATGACCAGGCACCCAACTTTGCAGACTCTCATTTTTACTCCTCTACTTTCTCAAGAGGCAGCTTAGCATATGGGTGCAGAGCACAAGCTCTGGAGCTGTTGCCCCGAGATGCAGACCACACTCCACCTCTGCCTGATGCCCAGACCTTGGGCACGTGACTTCATGTTCTCAAGCCTCAATCTCTTTCCGTCTACACAAGTGCTGAGAAGCCACTATCAGACATGATGGAGACCCTGTGTGTTGAGGGGTTTCCTTTGGCCAGGGGAGGGTCTGAAATGGCCCAGCTTGTGCCACACACTGCTGGCCTGGTGGGCACACCACAGTGCTGGAGGTTGAGACTCCACTGGGCTTAGCAATAACTTTGCCATTTACAAGAACACTCTTCCTCTCATTTCATCCACAGGGCAAACCAGGTAAGGAGTCAGGGAGGCAAACATTATCAGTTCCATCCGATGGAGAAGCAGACTGAGGCCTGGAGAGGTTAAGTGACTTGCCCAAGGTCACAGAGGCAGTGGCTGAAGTAGGATCTAAATTCCAACTGGTTTCTGCTCAGCCCCAGCAACCTTGACAGAAAGAAAACAAGACTCCCCAAAGGTCAGGAAGCCCCTTGAAGGCAGCTTGGTTCACTTCCGTGTGCCAGCACCTGGCCAAGGGGAAGCTGGGACAGCAGAGATGCTTGGAGCCAAGTCCAGAAGCTGGGGCTTATGATGCGGACACGAGGGCTCTTTCAATGCCCCACAGTGCTTCTTCCTCTGGGTCTCCTGATCCCCATCTCAGACTTCACATGGATCTTAACTGAGAAGGCCTTAACAGACTTTTGATGGATGTGACGCCTCCCACCCCACCACCCTTTCCCAATTTCAGAGAACAGAGATGTCCTGAGACAGTCCACTGGGAGGCAAAGGCAAGGCAAGCATTGTCATGGGGGAAACATGGGGCGACTGTCATCCAAACAAGGTCACGCTTTGTTGATGCAGAAATGTGGAGGGGGAGAGGAGGCCCATCTGTGGCCGCGCGCAGGGCCATTTCAGCTGCAAGCCTGCACAGAGCCTCCATTTATCCCCTTCCAAGAGCCTCGTTCTCTCCTGGGTGGGGGCTGGCACATGCAGCAGCTGGGGTGGGGGAGGGTGACAGGCAAGGAGCTCAGGAGTTGGGGGTCAGAGAAGAGGGGTGGGAACTGGAGGCACTGGGACCCAGGCAAACAACCAAGAGTGGCCAAACCTGGTGGTGCCAGGCTCAGAGGCCAAGGCTGTTTTTCCCTTTGCAAGTGGAGAAAGGGAGAAGCAGTCTCGCTCAGAGTGACCCGTCACCACTGGGTTCACTGGCTCCCAAGGGAGGGGCTGGCATTTCTACTGCCAGCACATCTGGAGGGGAGGAAGGTGAACACCCAGCCTCTGGAGAGATTTAGGGAGGCGGGCAAGGGGCCTGTTTTGGTCCCAGAAGAGAACCAAAGCCAGACATTCTTATGTCCCACAGGGTCTGCTGTTCAAACTCAACTAAGGAGTTACATCTGAAGCTACTTCATCTTCCCTTCACCCCCTAATTCCTGATGGGAGTGTTTGTTGGTACCAGTGGCTGGTACAGACGATCCCCAAACTGCCCTCCCTGTTTCTAGCTTATCTCCATCAGCTCATCTCATGTATTTTTTGTTTTGTTTATTTATTTCCTTTCTACCTGCTAGAGTACAAGCTCTGCCTAAAACAGGGTCTGACACACGGTAGGCACTCAAGAAATATTTGCTGAATGAATGAAAATGCCCATTCTTCCTTCTTCTCTGACCTCAATGGCCCTGCCTCCCTTTGCCAACACCTACAAGTCTCAGGAAGAAAGAAAAGGGGTGAGGGAAAGGGAATCTCACATCTGGACACACAACACATCTCTACTGCATACTTTGAGCCTTGTGTGATCTAAGAAAAGGCACCGCTCAGGACAGTTCAGGAGGCAAGACAAAGGAGGGCAGAACTCGTTCCTCACAAGAGAGTGAACGGTGTGAGAGATCTTCTAGAGAGTCTATCAAAGCTGGTCGGACTGACAGGACCACATCTACTCAGGGAAAAGAGGCAAAATCCTAAATGGACTCTTCAAGGACCAGAGTGGCACTCAAGGGACAGAAGGGAGAGAATGATGGGCAAGGTGGTTTCTTTGCAAATCTGCTCAGGTTCACAGTGAGGGGTGAAGGAAGTCCACTAAGAAACGTAGATAATGAAAGAGAAGCCAGGGCCGAAAACATGCACTGAGACAAAGAGAGAAGGAATCTGGGTTTGGCATACATCTTAGACATTCTTGCTTCCTGAGAAGCTGCCATTCTCACAGGACACTGAGGTGGTGAGAGGAGGTGTTAGGAGATGGGGAGACAGGGGAGGAATGCTGTGGGGCTCACTCTTGCTCTTGGGGGTGAGGGAGGCTGAAGCTAGAGATGTTTAGGCTAGAAAAGGGGTAATTAAGCTAGTCCGTAAGCTCTGGATGGCAGGGACCCTATCTTCCTCATAGTAGGACTCCCCACGGCTGCCAGCAGAGTACCTGGCAGACAGACATTCCTGATGAACAAGTACCATGTCTGACTCAGTAAGGACGAAAGGTAGGCTGACTGCAGATAAACCTTAACACCGGCAGTCTGCAGCTCTTTTCAGCTCTGCTGAAGCCTGTCAAAACAGCAGGGATCCTCCTAGAACCAAGCTATAGGAGGGTGGGGTGGGGTGGGTGTATAGCTGAGCCAAGGGTCAGTGAAGCAAAATAGTCAGGAGGCCAGACCAGTATCGTTCTAATTGGACCCATGGGGCCAGACAATATTGTCAATTAAAATGCAGTTAACATTCATGAGACTACTCCCTTATTCTAACGGACAGAAACACTGAACACTGGAGGACATGGACAGAGTTCTATTTATCTTTGTATCCTCAGTGCCTGGCTCACTGCCTGGCACATGATAGGCACTCAATAAATGGCTACTGAATGGACTATCCAGTGAAGGGAAAACATGAAAGAAACTGGGGGCACCCCATGGAAGGAAAGGCATTTATGGCCAGAGGTTTTAAATTACCGTTTCAGACTTTCCCTTTCATATAAGCCTTGGCTTGTTTATCTTCACACACACACACACACACACATACACACACACATCTAGTCCCGGCGTTTCCCATGTGACTTGAAATTCTACCACCCATCTGTTGGGTCTCAGTTTCTTTGCCTTCTCTCCAAGCTCTGCAGTTTCTCTCAGCTCTGAAATCACATGACAAACCTGTTTGTAGGGGACAGAAGATAGTGGCTTGAGGAGCCTTCCTCCCTGATCTGGGTTTGTTTAGCTAGTGGTGTGTGTGCCCCAAGCCTGCTCCTCTCGTCTTGGGCATGCTGTACTGCCAACTCAGCCTCCTCCACCGTGCTATTTATTTATCCCCGTATCTCCACCTGACTCAAGATCTGCAGAAGGCAATCAGCAAGTCTCCTGAAGGTCCTGAAAGGGTTTCAGGTCTGTTTAACACTCCCAAATCTTGAGAAAGAGAAGGAGTCCCGTCTTGGCTACACATCCCACGAGAAACAAGGCTCTAGGAACCGTGTAGGCGGAAACTGCTGCGCGAAAGAAGAAATCTGGGGGTGAAGGGTGGTCCTTCTCGGTTCTAGGAGCTCAGATGCCAGACACACGGGCCTGGTCCAAAACGGGATTAGCAAGGAAGGTAAGGAGGCCGCCAGCTAACCGTCACGCCTTTAGGGTCCGGCAGGGCACAGGGGCACTGAGGAGTGCCCAGAGAGCACCTCCACGACTGGGCTTGCGCCTCTATTCCCGGACATACGGCCTCGTCGCCAAGGGAGACCGAACCTCTCAGACTCTCCGAGGCGGGTGGCGTAGCTCTGGGAAGGCGCCGGGAGCCTTGGCGATTCGGTCGTGACGGGGACCAAAGCAGAGGGAGGGAAGTTCCGGGCCCTACGACTTCAATCCATCCCCAGGGCGCCCAAGCTCTGTGACTCACCCGAACTCCACCTCCACTGACAAGGGCGCGGCCATGTTGAGGAAGCCGAGCTCACAGGAAATTCCCTTTCAACTTCCGGCGTTCCCGCCCCACTTCCGGTAGGCGCGGACGGAAGAGGCGGTACCCAGGGAGCCATCCTCCGCAGCTATTGGAGGAAGGCGGAGAGCGAAGAGCGGAGGGGAGGTCACGGCGCTGTTGGAGGCTCTCGGTCTCCTCTGCCTTTTAGTGACGGGGTTCAGAGGGCTGGGTGGGCAGCGGCTTGTGGGAGCCGTAGCGAGGTGGGCCCCGGGCATCTTTGTGCGGTACCTGTGAGCCACGTTACTGTTTATCTTGCAAAAGTTAACAAATCTCTCTTAAGCCCGCACACCGCTTGGGTGAGCCCGTCCATTCGTCTTGACTTGAATTGTAAGTGACTGCAAATCTTTATTTCCAGCCCAGCAATCTCTCCTGAGCTATCGAGTCGCTATGCATCTGCCCCTTTGGTTATCGATTTGGGATTTACTCACTCAACAGATATTTATTGCATGTCCTCCGTGTACCAGGCATCTTGGTGAGTGTTATAGGTGTGTGTGGTGAACGGGATGGGCAAGGTTCCTGCCTTTAGGGCGTTCACGGGCTAGTGGGCGAAGCTAGCTCTAATCAAATAAACGAACCAGTATACTAATAAATATAAAATCTCAAACCGAAAGAAGTGATCTGAAGTCACAGGAACTTCAAAAAGAAAACAGATTGGGCTGGACCTGAACTGAGCTCTAAAGCCTGAGTAAAGTAGGTGGATGTGAGGGGGAGAGAAACCTCTGGGAGCATTCCAATGAGGAGAACAGAAGATGCAAAGGCTCTGGGTGGGAGACCATGCCGGGGCACCCCAAGAAGGGAAGGTGGAAGTTGGGAAGCAGAGGACCTGGTAAGAGATGAGGCTAGAAAGGGGGCAGGGGCCAAATCATACCTTGGGAGCCAGGTAAGAATTTAATCTCTATTCTAAGAGCAGTGGGAGGCCTCAGAAAGGTTTGGGGAGGGGGTGACATTTGAACTGTGTTTTAAAATATCCTTACCTGGGGCACCTGGGTGGCTGAGTTGATTGAGCATCTGACTTGATTTCAGCTTAGGTCATGATCTCAGAATCCTGAGATCCAGCCCCGAGTAGGTCTCTGAGCTCAGCAGGTGTCTGCTTGAGATTCTCTCTCTCCCCATCCCTCTGCCCCCCCACCCCCCACTTGTGTGCGGTTTCTCTCTCAAATAAATATTTTTTCGTTTTTTAGATTTTATTTATTTATTTGACAGAGAGAGACACAGCGAGAGAGGGAACACAAGCAGGGGGAGTGTGAGAGGGAGAAGCAGGCTTCCCGCTGAGCAGGGAGCCTGAAGTGGGGCTCATCCTAGGACCCTGGGATCATGACCTGAGTCGAAGGCAGACGCTTAATGGCTGAGCCATCCAGGCGCCCCTCAGATAAATAAATCTTAAAAAAAAAAAAAAAACCTAAACTAAAAAAGTAAAATAAAGTATCCTTACTTGCTGCAGTGTGAATGGTTTGAAGGGGCACGAGGAAGAAGATAAGACTACTAGAGCCTGTTAACAAAAGCCCAGGGGAGAATTGGAGTAAAGTAGATGTCCCCAGAGTGTCTAAAACACACTTCCAAATTGAACTTAGCTTTGGTAGCGTACGGTGGGGTAGGCTGATGGTCAATGGTGGAGCGATAAAATGGTTAAGGGCAAGGAGTTTAGGGTGCCTGCATGGTGCAGTCGGTTAGACTCGATTTTTTGGCTTGGGCCATGATCTCTGGGTTGTGAGATTGAACCCTGGGTCAGGCTCTGTGCTCAGCGGGGACTCGGCTTGAGACTCCTTCCCCTCTGCCCCTCCCCCCACTCATTCTCTCTCTCTCTCTTTCTCTAAAAGAAATAAGTAAAATCTTAAAAAAAAAAAAAGAGCTAGGCATTCACCTGCCAGCTTTATATCCAAGTCCCACCACTTCTAGCTGTTTAAGTAAGTCCCTTAACTTACATGTCTGTGCCTCAGTTTCCTCATCTGTAAAATGGGGATAACAACCCCTAACTCATAGGGTTGTAGCGAGGACTAAATGAGTTCTTGGCACAGTGCCTCTTTCCCTAAAACAGGCCCTCCCCTGTGTTCCTCATTTCAAGGATACCACTGCCACCCACTGAAACACTCAAGCAAGAAACTTTGGGCATTGTTCGTAATTCTCTCCCATATTCAAATAACCGATTTGGATTCATCTCCCATCTCAGCTGATTTTGCAACCCCCCAAATCTTTCACCACCACCACCACCACCACCACCACCACCATCACCTGCACCTGTACCTGCTTCTCTGCCTGCCTGCCTCCCGCCTCCCTCACTCTGGCCTTGGCTTCATTGCACAGTTTGACTCCATGGAGATCCCTGAGCCATTTCAATGCATTAGGCACTGTTCCAGGGCACTGGCAAAGTGAAGACAAATGAGACACATCCCTGGTCCTCAAAGGGCACAAAGGAATCCTGCGGTAAATGGAAAGGCCCCACGTGTACCATGCTGTGCGGGTTGGTCACTTTCCCTCTCTGGAACTCAGTTTCCCTAATCTGTAAAGAAGGTTGGGGACCAAATGATCTAAAGTCCTTTCAGCAAAAATATTCTAAGTTTCTTCCACTAGACCCAGCTCCTGTAGGGCAGTAATCTTGCCTGATTCATCTTTGATCCTTGGCTTGTGGTAGGGAGCTTTGTAATTGTAGGGGTTTGATAAGTGCTTGCTGAATGAGTGAGTGAACACATCACTCCCTGCTCAGTCATTCACTGGCTTCTCTCTGCCAAAGGTAAGGGCCTTCCTAGAAGGTGTTCAGAGCCCTTGAGCCTCTGATCTCAGCTCACCTCTATGAATTGAATATTCTCTCACCCTAGGAACTGACCCCTCCTGGGGCTGGAACACAAGAGCTAGGGAGCATTTGAAGGGCTTCAGCCATCTGACAAACATTCACTGAGTATCTGTTAAGCACCAGGCCCAGTGCTGGTGCTGGGAACACAACAGTGAACAAAACCAACAGGTCCCTGCCCTTTTGGGACTGTTCTAGGAGAAGACACAGATGTAAAAATGGACCACGTGGTGTGATCAGTGTTACAAAGGGGGCATATGGGGGCCCTGTGGGAGCTGGAGGAGCGCCCTAATCCAGCACTGGGATCAGGGAAGTCTTCTCGGAAGTCACACCAAGCCCAAATCCAAAGGAATGGTGGGAGGGAGAGGGCTCCTAGGAAGGAGGCATCTTCCCACATCTCAACAGACAGGGATTCCTCTATCTTCTTGCATAGTCCCAGAAATGGGAGCTCCCTTCTGGGTAAATCAGCCCATTCTGGGGGTGCCTGGGTGGCTCAGTCAGTTGATCCGTCTGCCTTCTGCTCAGGTCATGATCCTGAAGTCCCGGGATCAAGCCCCGTGTTCCCTGCTCAGCGGGGAGTCTGCTTCTCCCTCTCGCTTTGCCCCTCACCTCGCGCTCTCTCTCTCTCGCCCACTCTCTCAAATAAATAAAAGTTAAAAAAAAAAATCAGCCCATTCTGTGAATGCCTGGGTCTCAGAAAGTCCTTCCTTCTCCTGACCCCAAACCTACGCCACTCAACCTCTTTAATTAGTAACAATATTAGTTTAACGTACTCATTCTAAGAGTGTTTATTGAATGCCCACCTTACACCTGCCAGGTGCTATACATGCACACTGATTGACTGCTCACAGGGACTACTCTTACCCCATTTTCCAAATTGAGAGAATTGAAGCTCAGAACCAGTGGTTTGCGCATGGTCCCTAAGTGTCAGGCCTCAACCCCAGGTTGTAGCACCTTCAGTATCACTGACCCTGACGGCTTCCCATTGGGTCCGGATCACCCAAATGCCTTCCCCTGGGATCTACGCAGACGAGGGGAATTGGGCCCCATCCCCCGTCCTCCAGCAGGCCAGCCAGCCCGGGCGTCGGCCTCCAGCCCCTCTGAAGCAACTAGGGAGACAAAGGCGGGGTCTGCGGGGGGAGGCAAGGGCGCGGGTGCCCCCCTGCCCGCTGCCCTTTGTCTTCCCGCCTGCTCCCCTCGTGCGCCCCGGGAGGCTGGGAGGCGCCTCTCTCAGGCTTCCTCCTCCCATTCTTGTGCTAATTGGGTGTCAAGCTGAGATCAGTGAGAAAGAAATCCGCCCCGGCTCGGGTTAAACTGCCGCCAAAGACGAGGGCTGAGCCCAGAATATCATTAGGCTGGGAGGAAGCAGGGCCCCCTCCTTGTGGGGGAGGGGCCGGCCACGCATTCAGGCCCCTTTGAAAGTCACTTGGTCACCTCCTCCCTTACTGCCACCGCCTCAATGGGCCCCTCGGAGGTATTTAACCTTCTTCCCAGGGATCGAAAGTGATACACTAAGCACTGGCCTGGTCGGCCACTTGCCTGTCCTGAGGGCGGTAGGACCTCCGGGGATGCTCGAGACAGGCTCCTTCCAGCCTCCCCCTGGCGCTGTGGCAGATGCGAATACTGAGGCTCAGGGAAGGCGGTTTGCATCCCAGCGCTGCCATTCACAGGCTCTGTGGTCTTGGGAGAGGCTTTGCCTCCCTGAGCCTCAGATTCCTCATCTGTGGAATGGGGATGAAAATAGTAGCTGCTTTGTGGTATGGATTTAATGAACCAATGCACACAAAGCACCAGGCACAGAGGGGCTCCATCCGTGGTGGCCATTAGCACGTCTAAGGAAGTGGGTCTGACCAATGCAGGGACCTCCTAGCATAGCCCCCAGTCTCTGGAAGCGTGCAAGTATAAGTGCCCACAAAGGACTCATTTTTCGTATCTTGCTTCAGCTCTACTCCACCCCCAACCTGCACTCCCCTGCAGCCTCACAGCTTGTTGTAATCTGCCCTGCTCACCATGGACTTCCAGGCCTTTACGTTTTCCTCCTGCTCTGTCTGAACACTTCTGCCTCCAATTCTTGGATAACTCTTCCTTGAAAAGCCTCTTTGACCAGGAAAGAGGACTTCCCACCCCACAAGGGCCCTGGGTTAGTAGGTGTAGCTAACCACACACCCTTTGCTTCTTTATTCGCTAGTTTTACTCTCCCGTCCCCAGACAGTCGGCTCCCAGGTCTCTCTTGCTCACCATGCACCGCCTCTGCCCCGTCCCCCGTCCTGCGTAGGTCTTTAGAATCTGCTCCATAGATGAACTTACACCGTACTCTGTAAACTGTGAAACACCATATAAACGTCAAGAAATGCCCAATAAGCAGTCGTGAATGTCACAAGGACACACTGAGAATCTACTGTGTGTGCACGATGATTCACACAGCAGTGGTTGAGGATGATCAGAGGCAGATGGGAGAGCTCCCAAGGCCCTTCAAAGGGGGGTGGAAGAGTGGTGTGGAAGTGGTCAATTCAGGCCTAGTCTGGGGTCTTAACACCTGAATATAGATTTTTTTTTTTATCTTGTAATCTCCATTTACAGGGGAAGAAACTGAGGCTTAGCCTGGCGAATGGACTCGAACACATGCCTGTTCAAGCTGGAGCTTTTAACCATCACTCTATACTGCCTTTTGGTGACTGTGTTCAACCTTAAGGAAGGAATGGGGCCCCCTGGTGGGGGGCGCTATCCCATTAGAAAGCACTCACTGCTAAGGGTTAAAGACAAAGCCACGCTGTCAGGTCCAGCCCCTTGGAAATCTGACCCTAGGCCCTCAAAGCCCTGCCACGGGGTGCTCTGGGCTGGGTACCTGCCTGGGCCTGAGGTGGGACTCACAGCCCCTCCTTCCCACTTTTGGAGGCTGAGTGCAAAGGACCAAGATGGGATTCTCTAAGCTCTGCATGCCCTCTGCTGGTCACACTGGGACACTGCAACCGTGACTGTCACCTCCCCCCCCCCGCCCCGGAAACCCCCTCAGCACCTCTCTCCAAGGACTCCAGCTCTGCCCCCCACTTTCCCCCAAGAGCATCAGATTCCTTTTTCAGAGTCATTCCTCCAGGAGGCATCCCGTATCTCATCCTGGCCCTCCACCCTGGCTATCGGCTGCAGGCCAAGGGCGGGGCCCACAGTGGGCTCCACAGGCAGGGTGGAATGGAAGCTCTTTCGGCTTTCCCCTGGCCTTCCGCACCAGGCGGTGGGTGGAGCAGCAGGAAGCAACAGGGGCTTGGGTTTGCATTCCAGCCAGCCCACCAGCTCCCCCTACTGCTGTGTGACCTCAGCAAGTGACTGACAGACTGCGGTGAAGCTTAAATAGTGAAGATAAGGCCCAGGGGCACATGCTGCCCACTGCCCTGGGCTGGGTGGGACCCCTCTCCCAATGGGCCATGCGTTTCCAGCCTGGGTGTGACTCCGGCAACAGGGCCTCGGGGACAGCTGCCTCTCCACTGGCACGGCCGGTCCTGCAGCCCTGGGCACATGGCTCTGGGAAGCTTTCCTGGACTCTGCCAGAGCTGGTCAGGCCGCCCGGCTCTGGCTCGCACAGCCCCCAGACCCCCGGGGAAATGCACGGGCGAGGGTCTGGAGATGGGATCAGGCCCCGCGTTAGGTTCTTCTTCCTCAAAGGCTCTGAACAGCCCTTTTCTCAACATGAGTACCTGTGCTCTCTGAATCCTCGATAGTCCCCTTTCACAGATGAGGAGACTGAGTCACTTGCCCTAGACCACAAACTCAAAAGTGACACAGCTGGTTTGGACTTTCAAGCTCATGCTATTAAATACCTTGCCAACTCAAGGAGGGCGTCTTACCTGCTGTATCCCTAAGTCTGGGTGAGTGAATAGGCTGGAGGGGCAGGAGGTGGGGCCTGAGCAGGTGCTGTGAGCTCAGGTGGCATGCACACAGGCTAGGGGGAGTGAAGGCAGTTTATTGGCCCCTGAACGACCCCCACCCCCACCCCTCCTCCTCTCATAGCCAGCCCAGGACTGTGATGGAGAAAGTGATGTGGACAGACCTACAAGGACAAAGGTCCCGCCTGAGGGGCAGCCAGGCTGCCACCCAGGAGAGGAGGATGGCGGGGGGGAGGGCACTCAGTCAGGGTGCCTGCTGCAGGTCGGGGTCCTCCTCCGATCCTCCTGGAGGTGCGGGCAGTGCTGAGTGACACTGGAACAGCTCCGGGGCCAGGATCCTCCTCTTTGGCCACCTGATCAATAGCCACTGCAGCCCCTGCCCACTCTGCTGGCTTCCTGAGTCTGGGGGCTTCTGCCCTGGTCCCATTTACAAGCTCCCTGTGCTCTGGGGAGTGCTGGGCGACCCTCCACCTACCCCTGCCCTGATCCAAGACATCATCCTAAGGGGCCTGGTCTGTCTCGGGGCCCAGAGGCCCCACCTGGCCTTGAAGATGGAATATGGACTTGAGGCTTTCACAGAAAGCCTCCTGGGGGGCAGGGGGAGGCGGCAGTGAGTCACTTGGCAGTTTTGAGGTGGAGGGGGGCCACAGCACCTCGGGGCGGAGGTGCTGGGCCCTGCCTGCTTTGGTCTGGCACTGCCCATGACCCCTCTGGGGTGGGAGCTGGGGCTCTGGATCCAGCACCCGCTGGCCCTTAGAGGGACTCGGGGCAAATCACAGCTTCTCCTCTCCTGCCTGGATGCGGGTATAGGCCTCTTGGTCCAGCGGGACGTAGCGGCCCTTCCGGGCATCCAGGTAGAACAGCGGGTCTTTCACAACTGCCGGGTCAAAGCCTTCCTTCCGAAGCTCTGTCTTCTGCAACTTGAAGGTCCCTGAGGGAGCAGGGAAGATGGGTCAGAGGGTGCAGGGCAGCGGCCTGAGCCTCGGGAAGCTGCACACCAAAGTTGAAGAGGGACAGAGGAAGAGGCCTGGGGAGAACACAGGAATGAGGCACGGAGCACAGCAGGACACAGGTGCACTTTGCAAAGGCGACTCCAGCTAATTATATTATGTACCACTGCTCAGAGCAGCCCTGGCGCTGCGGTGGGGTGCCACACTACCCACCTTCTGCTTGCAGCTGGGGAAACTGAGAACCAAAGAGGCGAAACTATCCATCTAAGGCCACAAGCCCTGACTGGCAGCAGAGGGAGGGCCAGAGCGCGGGCCTTCTGTGCTTTGAGCACCTCCCAGGTACAGGTGTGAGCTCATCTAATCTGCACGTAAATTCCTGGGGCAGGTGCGCCATAGCATTCTATGGCTTCCACAATGCATGTATTTTCAGCTTTTAACATCTCTGAAATAGTTTCAACAGCAGCAATGTTTTCTCAGTTGTAGATCACGGTAATTGTATTTCTCAGTCATTGGCATCAGCCCAATGGACAGAGGAGAAGACTGGCGTGGCGAGGCACACCCCCGGGCCAACGCCACACAGCTAGTAAGCGCTGGAGCTGGGATTTGAACCCGGCTATGACGGATTGCCAGAAATGGCCAGGTTCCCTCCTTCCTTGGATGCACACTCTGCTGCCTGGTGGCTTAGCCACTTCTCCCAGTGAGAGCTGGAATCTTTCTCAGCCCCCACCTGAATCCGAACTGGCCTTGTGACTTGCTTGGACCCACAGACCATGAGGGTTCAGAGAGTCCAGGCCTTGAGGGGCCCTGCAGCTTCCACTCCAGGAGGGGGTACCTGATACCAGTGTAGTCTCTGAAGGGGGAGGAGCCACAGAGAGCAGAGGTGAGACAGCCCAGGGACGCCCCCTGGACTGGCCCTATCCAGTAGGATAGCCATTGGCCATGAGGGGCTCTATACATTTCATTAAAATGAACGGAAACGTAAGATTCCGTTCCGCAGTCACGCTGGCCCCAGCTGGAGCGCTCAGCAGCTACACGGGCTAGCGGCCGCGGTGCTGGTCAGCGCGCACACGGGCCGCCATCACCAGCGCAGACAGCTCTGCTGGTCAGCACTGCAGAAGCGACCAGCTGGAAGCCAGACAGGTAAGTAAGGACATCCTGGCCCCTCCAGCCCCAGCCAAGTCACGACTGATGGTAGCTCTTCCACCCCAGGCGGGGCTGACGGAAGAACCGCTCAGCTGAGGGCGCCTGGGTGGCTCAGTCGGTTAAGCGACTGCTTTCGGCTCAGGTCATGATCCTGGAGTCCCGGGATCGAGTCCCACATCGGGCTCCCTGCTCGGCAGGGAGTCTGCTTCTCCCTCTGATCCTCCCCCATCTCATGCTCTCTCTCTCTGTCTCATTCTCTCTAATAAATAAAGTCTTTAAAAAAAAAAAAAAAAAGAACCGCTCAGCTGAACTGAACTGCAAGCTGCTGACCCACAACTGAGAGCAAAAAATGGCTGTTTTAAGCACTACAGTAAGTTTAGGGACGTGTGTGCTGCAGCAAAGCCTCTGAAACCTGAGGCCTCTTCCCTGCCTCTCTCCTGCACAGAGAACTCAGCTGTCACTCAAACCTCAGGAGCTTCCCAGGCTCCATCACGAGCCCAGCACCAGTGTCCCCATTAGACCCTCGGCACTGCTTCAGGCGCTGCTAGGAGCCTACCAGCCGGCAGGGGCGACATGGGTCCGGGAAGGCCTTCCAGCAAGGCAGGGGGTGACATGATGAGCACAAGGGAGGTGGCCTGAGGCTGAGCAGCTGGTGAGCCGCTGGGGGTGTGTGTGTGGGGGGGGAGTCGGGACAGGGCAGCAAGGACCGACTTCTTGCCCATCAGGGGACCCGTCAGTGGCCCAACAGACAGGAGGCTGGCACCGCCCTGCTGTGTGACTGTGGACCCACTACTGACCTCTCTCCTAACAGTAACGGCCCCTTGCTAGTGTCCGTGCTCCCCCAGGGCTGCCTGTAGCCCTCGCCCGCGCCCCACACAGCAGCCAGAGGGCCACGTGGCACACACACCTGACCCAGGCTACTGCTCGACGCAAACACTTCTGTGGCTCCCTGCTGCCCCAACACAGCCCAGGCTCCCCAGCCCACAGTCTTCTGGCCCCCCCTGGCCTCTCTGCCCCCCCTGACACCACTGCCCACAGTTCCCATGGCTCCGGCTTCGGGGGCCTCCCTCCCTTCCTCTCGTGCCCAAGTGCCCTCCGGTCTTAGGGACCAGCCTGGAATGCCTCCCACTCCTTTCAGGTCTCAGCTCAAAGGTCACCTCCTCCAGGGAGCCTCCCAGGCACTGTACCCCCCTTCGTTTGCTTTTCTGTCGGTTCGATCTGTATTCTGTTCTTTGCCCTTGGAATTCCTTGTCCTGTGCTTCCTCCTCAAAGATGGCAAAGGTCCCATCAGAATTTGTCACAGGGCCTGGCAGACACATAGTAGGTACTCAGTAAACGCTTGTTCTGCTCATGGACGTGTGAACCTTCTCTGAGGGCTCAGTCCGCTCACTTGTACACAGGGAGGTCTGTTTACCAATGACACAGCAATGCTGTGGCTGAAGGGCAAATGACAGCCCCCCCAGGTCTCTCCAGAAGGAGCCAGGAAGGGCCACAGGCCTGGAACTGGGAGCTCGGCAGGGGCGGGGACATACCCGTTTTGTGCAGCTCAGGCAGGAAGCGCAGGAAGATGGGCCGGGCGTACAAGGGCAGCTCCTTCTCCAGGAGCTGTGCGAAGCGCTCCAGGTCGCAGTTGCCAGCAGGGCTGGCCACAGCAGCCATTCCAGCCCGGCCCTCGGTTCCTGGGGGCGGCAGCGTGGACCGTGAGGAGCCGGCGGTGCCCCCCAGGAGGGCCTCCCCACACATGCCTGGCACCTCCCACCTCCCCCATGGATACCTGGCACCTCGACACCATACACTGCCACGTCGGCCATGTCCAGCAGGCGGCTGAGTGTGCCCTCCACCTCGGTGGTGGACACGTTCTCCCCTTTCCAGCGGAACGTGTCTCCCGTGCGGTCTCGGAAGTACAGGTAGCCCAGCTCGTCCATCACCAGCACGTCGCCTACGGGGGCGCAGTATGAGGCCGGGCTTGGGCCAGCCGGCCTCACAAAACCCCAGGATCTGCTTGACAGGGAGGGCTGGGACTGGGGCAGTATTCTCTGAAGGTGGGGGAGGGCCCCTTCATTCCTCTCCACCCTGTACCCCCAAAGGGGCTGGTGCCCACCCACCGGTGAGGTAGGCCTGATCCCCCTTTTGGAAGACGTCCTTGGCGATCTTCTTATTGCTGGCACCCTGGTTCAGGTAGCCGTCGAAGCGCCGCAGGGGGTCCTGCTGGATGATGCGGCCCACTAGCTGGCCCGGCTCACCTGGGGGCAGAGAAGGCAAAGCAGCTTTACTCTGATGGCCTCCTCTACCCATTCCCCACCCCCAAATGCACCCTGCATCTTGATCTGACTTCTGTTCACACTGCTTCCCACAGAAACGCTATCCCGCTCTGGGGCAGGGAAGCTGCTCCCGGCGGGTCTGATGCACAGAGGCACTCAGTAACGTCTGGGCATGGAGCATATGGAACGACAAACGATACGAAAGGGTGGCCAAGCTCTCCATGGACAGCTTGACCAGAGCCAGCACTCCTGGGGCCCCTGGCTCTGTGCGTTCCTTAGCACACATGATCCCCAGGGCGACTCCAGGAGATGGTGCTGCCGTCAGCCTCACTCGCAGATGAGAGGACTCAGGCACAGAGCTGAGGGGCTGGGCCAGGATCAACCTGGGGGTCCTCCACCCAACAGTGAATCAATGGGCTGATGGGTAGAGGGGATAAGGAATGGAAGGACGGATGGACAAAAAATAAATGACTTGTGGCCCTAAGAGAAGAGCTGAGTGATGGCCACTGGTCAGAAAAGGGCTCCCCACTCACCCCGCCCAGTGCCATCTCCCTCCCGGGTCAATCTCTCCTGCTCTGACCCCACTTCCAACCCCGGGGCAGACCTGGCTGGCAGGGAAGGCAGACGCCACTGGGCCCCCGGATCAGTTCCATGGTGTCCTCGTTGACTCGTACCAGCCGGATGGGGTACACAAAGGACAGGATGCGGCTGTTGAAGCCACAGGCCCCCACCTGCAAAGGCCAGGACTTGGGCCTGAGACTGGACAGCGTTGCGAGGCCCGGTGTCCACACTCCCACAACCGCCCCGCCCCACCCACACAGCGGGGGCTCCGGCGCCCACACTCCGCGCTACACCCCGCCCGCCCCGACCACACCGCGGGGGCTCCGGCGCCCACACTCCGCGCTGCACCCCGCCCGCCCCGACCACACCGCGGGGGCTCCGGCGCCCACACTCCGCGCTACACCCCGCCCGCCCTCCACTGTCCCACGGCCAACCTGGCTGTCGAAATTGCCCAAACTGCAGTTACATTCAGTGGCCCCGTAGAACTCGGCCACCTGGGGGATGTGGAAACGGCTCGAAAAGTCGGTCCAGATGGACTGGCGGAGGCCGTTGCCGAGCGCCATGCGCACCCGGTGCTGGTGTTCTGCCTCCCGGGGTGGCTGGTTCAGGAGGTAACGGCACAGCTCACCGATGTACTGCACAATCTGGGGGCGGACCTGGTGTGAGGCTGGCCCACGGCTGCTCTCACTTCACCTCCCAATCCCACAGGCCCTGGGCCTCAGTCTCCCCATTGAAACAACGGAAATGCTGCCCCCAGTGAACGATCAGCCTCGGCTGTGAGGCAGACGTCCCCAAATGGGGCGGATGGGTCATGAGGGCACAGAGATGCTCATCCTCTGCCCTTCTCACTCACCGTGCAGTTGTACTTGATACAGTCGTCCCAGAACCGGGAGGCTGAGAATTTCTTCCGGATCACCACTGTCATGCCATGGAGGAGGCACTGCCCCATTCCCACGATGTTTCCTGAAGGCGAAGGCGTGGCATGTGGAGGTCAGGGAGCTAGGAGACCCCTCCTTCCAGAATCTCCTCTTGCCCAGCCCATCTCCTCAAAGGCCCTTCCCCAGTCCCTCTTTCCTGTCCTGTTTCTCTAACACAAACTAATCACACCTCTCCCCTCGTCAGACACCTCCCATGGTTCCCCAGTGCCTCCCCAGTGTGGGATCGAGTGCATGCTCCTTAGACTGTCCCTGGGGCCCCTGGAGCTGGCCCCAAGCTCCTGCTCCTGTACCTGTAATGCTGCCATTCAGCCAGAGGGGGAGCAAGCTAGCTCTCCTGGCTTCAGCACCTCACATCTGCCTGACTTGGGAGCGCCTCTTCCAGGAAGCCTACCTAACCATCACTGGGCTCTTCTCTTGAGCTAAGCTCCTGCTCACTGCCTGTCTCCATACTCACAATGCCATTTCTTGTATTAAAGTCAGATGAGTTCCAATTCTTCATCCTGCCCTAAATCCACACCTGACTCTAAGCACCTTGAGGGCAGGAACTCTAATTATTCCATCTCTGCTCTTCTCTGTGCTTCCCTTCCCAAGCCGCAAGGCTGTGCACGCCTGTGGAAATGAACTGCCGGGCCAGAACTGCGGGACACGGCCACACACATTGTGAGGCTGGTGTGGCCGACTTCGTTCAGAGGTCCAGTCAATGGCCACATCTGAATTTGAACCCAGATTTTGACTCCAGATTTCTACCCACAAGATGCTGCCACCCCAAGAAGGGTGGGGTTCCTGAGGCCCCGGGGCGCCGGAGGCTGAGAGGGTGGGCCCTGTGTTACCTGCGGAGTGGTAGAGGGGCAGGCAGTCGTAGACAATGTCGTCAGGCCGCATCCGGAATCCGTAGTACACTAGGGCGGCCATGCGGTAATACCTGGGAGGGCAAAGACAGAGCGCTTCGCAGGCCCCTGGGAGGCAGGAGGAGGGGCTCCCAGGTTCTACCCCCCAGCGTGTCCCCCCCCCCCCCAGCACCTGCCCCTTACCTGCTGTGCACCACGATGGCGGCTTTGGGCAGCCCGGTGGTGCCCGATGTGTAGATGTAGAAGAGCTTATCTGAAGAAAACAGACAAGTAGCGGTTGTGAGAAGAGACCGCCCAGGGCTAGGGAGACACTGGCTGCAGGGAGCAGAGTGTCCACAGAGCTTCTGCACCGCAGAGCATGTCTTTACCCCACCCTGTGGCCCAGATGGGGGACTGTCACGTTCGTTTCTGCAGAGGCTCAGCCACCCCCCCAGCCCCCTGGTAGGAGGTTCTAAGGAGGCCAAGAACGTGTGGGATGACTGCATGTCACGTATCAATCACCTCACGCCCTCTGGATGCCTGCTGACTCCAGCTCTGGGCTGGGCATGGGCACTCCAGGCTGACCCCTCCAGAGAGCCTGCCCTCGAATCACTTACAAAAGCACCCGGGAGACAAAATTCACACATGACAGAGATAAAATGACCACGAGGCCAACAAAGACTGGTTCCTGAGCACTTCCTGTCACACCCCAGCCTTCCACTGTATCTTTGTCAAACCCCAAAGCCACTCCATAAAATCGATTCTGTTACCAGCCCCACTGTTATGGCTGTGGGAACCGAGGTTCAAAGAGAGGGCAGCTCAGGGGCTCAGGGTCACAAGGGAAGTGGTGGGGCTGAGGCATGAACTCAGCGCCAGCTCCGAGCTTCTGGCCAGTGCAGCAAACCGGGGGCTCCATAGGACAGGGTGGAGTACAGGAGAGGCTGCAGGGTCAGAAGGCTGCCTGGAGGAGGGGATGGGGAAGTAGGGCAGCCCAGTGCAGAGAGAGGACCCCAGGCTGACAGGGGCTGGCACCGAACAAGTGCTGGGTGAATATTTAGAGGGTCTAGCCCCTGGCCCAACCCCAGCCGAAATTCAGACCCAGTGGTTTCCTGGGTTCCACATGATCCTGCTGCTCATGATTAGGCAGCAATGAAGGCTTGTTCAACAAGTCAAAGGATCAGGTTTTGTGAGCTCCTAAGTACCAGGCACTGTGCCTGGCATCTTTACACACATTGGCTGTTTAGCCTTCAGAGTGACCCCATGGTCACGGTCCTCATCTTCCCGGATGGAAAAAGGGAGGTGACAGGACTCACTATAGGTCACACGGCAAGTTTGCAGAAGAACCCAGGCCTCTGGCCCTGGGGCCAGTGCTCTGTCCAGGGCCCATCTGAGAATCCTTCTGTGGGTTTGGAGGCCCACCTGTGAAGCCCTTGTTAGGGCGACTGGGCAGGTGCTTGGGGGCATCTTCCAGCAGGGGGTCTAGGTGCTCCGTGCCGGCGGGCACCGTGCTGGGCTCCCAGGGGCCAGAGCAGAAGAGGCTGAGCGAGGGGTCCAGGCTGGCTTGGATTTCAGAGATGGCTGCAGGGGAGACAGGGCCAATCAGCAGGGAGGCAGGGAAACTCATGTCCCCAGGACCTCTGCTCGTGTCAGGGCTGGCGTGTTGTCAGGGGAGACTGGCTGTGTGCAGGGAGGAAGATGGGTGAAGCACCTAGGTCCTCGTTATAAGACGCTGATGGGAGCAAGAGCTCCCTAGCTGCGGGCTAACTACACAGGGGGTTCCTTACATGCGCGCTCCTGCTCACACAGCCCAGGAGGTAGGCACCAACAGCAGACCCTAGATGAGAAGATGAAGCTCCAAGAATGGGAGGGCCTGCTCACAGCTAGAATGTGCTGGAGCTGGGACTCCAAGCCAGCTCTACCGCACGCCAAGGTCTGCGTCCTTATACACTGTACCATGCTCGTCTGTGGGGGCCGGTTAGAAGGGAGGTGTGGAGGGTCAGAGGTCAGCAGCCTCCAGCCTCTTCAGAAAGTGGGAACCTTCCCTCAGGCTCCTCTGGGCATGACAGCGGTCTAGATACTCACCTGCGCTGGGCACAGGCCAGTCCTGCCCCCCTTGGCTCAACTTTTGCCTCCCTCTGGATTTGTCCAACCCTCCCTCCTCTCCCCATCCCTGCATGTCAGTGACCTTCCCTGCCATCATCCCACACCACAGCAGTCAAGCCCAGGATGAAATCCTGCTTCGGCGTGACCCTAAGTGAGTTCCTCACACCACTCTGAACGTCTGTCTCCTCATCTACAAAGCCAAGACGGCCATCCCTACCTCACCAGGCTTTGTGAAGATGAGAGCTGCTTTTGTAAAGCACCAAGCTCAGGACTCAGTCAGTGCTCATCGTGGCAGCAAATAAAACATAAGCTCTGCAGGAGACCAGAGAATACATTCTTGTTCTCATTTTATAGAGGGGGCAAATGAGGCCTAATTAGTCACCAAGAATGGTTACCATTATATCTGCAGGCTCACCTAGCATTAGCCATTTTGTTAGTGCTTCGGGAGAAGTATCTTCTTGAAAATGATAGGTGGCAGGTACTACAGTGAGGTAACTGAGTCACAGACATTTCCAGTCTCTTACTCAGGATCTCCAGCTTACAAGTGGCAGAGCCCAGGCTGTCTGACACCAGGGCTCATGGCCCTCACCTCTGAGCCACGCAGCCTCCCCCAGGCCTGGAGGGCGGCTGTGGTCTGTGCAAGATCCTATGGGTCTCCTTGCCTGACACATCCCCGGGGCTCACCTGGGGCCATCTCACTGCCAAAGACGAGGACCCGGGCCTGGGAAGTGGTCAGGCAGTGGCGCAGAGCGTCCCGCCGGAGGTTGGTATTGATGAGTGCGGCCTCCACACCCAGCTTGGCCATGCCCAGCCACAGACCCACAAACTCGTTGCGGTTCTCCATGAAGAGAGCAGCCACGTCGCCTGAGGCCAGGCCCCGAGCCTGCAGGAAGTTGGCCACACTGCTGGAGTAATCATCCAGCTGGCGGAAGGTCCAGCGGGTGTCTGTGCCCTCAAAGATCAAGGCTGTCTTGTCAGGGTGGCGCTGTACCGTAGACGCAAACAAAATGGGCACCGTCCGCTGCTCCCGCAGGTACCGCCGGACCTTTACCTTCACCTTCAGGAGTACCAGGCCGCCGCTAGGTGGGAGCAAGCAAGGGAGCCATGACTGTTGGGGTTGGGAGTGTGGGTCCCGATACCCTGGCCCAGGTTGCTGTCCCACAGGCCTGAGGCTCCTGAGCCCAATCACTTGCCAACATTCCCCTTTCCCAGCAGCCATGTGCCAGGCACCATCAGAGGTACCAGTCCACCAATGCTGCACAATACCACCAGGCACCATACGATTCCTGCCTCCCCAGTACAGAGAAGGAAACAAGGCTCTGAAGCACCACGGCTCGCCCGGGCTTCACAAGCTGAGATCAGGGCCCTGGTCCTCTCTGGCTCCAGAGTTCAACACCTATGACACTTGAAGCTCTGCTCTGAGTCTGCTGCTTGATCAAAGCCTTCCTGAACTCTAGGGCCCAAGTCAAAGTCCCAACTCATTTGGGACCTCCCACTGCACTTCTCTAGACCCCTGCCACAGTAAATAAAGGGTAAGTTTGAGATTTGTTCAGTCTCCCTCCTGGTGAGCCCACCAAGGGTAAGGCTCCATCCTGTTCACCACCTTGTCCCCTGGGCCCCACTCAGTATCGGGCCTAGAGCTTCACTAAATGTAGAACTGCTTGGCAAAAACTATGGAAAGTGGGGAGCCTGGGTGGCTCAGTCATTAAGTGTCTGCCTTCAGCTCAGGTCATGATCCCAGGGTCCTGGGATGAAGCCCCGCATTGGGCTCCCTGCTTGGCGGGAAGCCTGCTCTCCCTCTCCTACTCCCCCTGCTTATGTTCCCTCTCTTACTGTCTCTCTCTGTCAAAAAATAAATAAAATCTTAAAACAAACAAACAAAAAAACCATGGAAAGAGCCCAGATGTCCATTAACAGATGAATGGATAAAGAAGATGTGGTATACACACACACATACAGGAATATCATGCAGCCATCAAAAAGTGAAATCTTGCCATTTGGAACAATGTGGATGGAACTAGAGGGCACTATGCTAAGCGAAATAAGTCAATCAGAGAAAGACAATTATCATATGATCTCACTGATGTGTGGAATTTAAGAAATAAGGCAGAGGATTATAGGGGAAGAGAAGAAAAAACGAAACAAGACGAAACCAGAGAGGGAGACAAACCGTTAAGAGACTCTTAATCTTGGGCGCCTGGGTGGCTCAGTTGGTTAAGTGACTGCCTTCGGCTCAGGTCGTGATCCTGGAGTCCCAGGATCGAGTCCCGCATCGGGCTCCCTGCTCGGCAGGGAGTCTGCTTCTCCCTCTGACCCTCCCCCCTCTCATGCTCTCTCTCTCTCAAATAAATAAATAAATAAATAAATAAATAAATAAATAAGAGACTCTTAATCTTAGGAAACAAACTGAAGGATGTTGGAGGGGAGGGGGGTCGGGAGATGGGGTAACTGGATAATGGACATTGCGGAGTGGGGAGGGTACGTGTTGTAATGAGCACTGGGTATTACATAAGACCAATGAATGACAGACCTGTACCGCTTAAACAAATAATACGTTGTGTGTTAATTAACTGAATTTAAATTAAAAAATAAATAAAAAATAATTTTAAAAAAATCACTTGGCAGTGTCCCCCTTTCCTGCCCTGCCCCTGGCCCCTCTGACCTTTGAAAGCTTCTAGCTCCCTGACTTCTATGCCTATTCAGATGCTGTGCCCTCTGGCTGGAATCCCCTGCTCCCATCACCTGGAGATGCCTCTCAACCACAGCTTTTTGTCTTCCAGGTGGTCTCTGATTCCCCAAGGTCCTGGCCTGATGCCATCTCCCTGCCCCACACTCCCCCAGCTCTCTGCTACCACTCTTCCTGCAGTGGCCACTCAGCACCTCCTTTTACAATCAATTCAGATGACAGGTGCTGAGCTGCCTGTTCTGAGTGCGGGTCACTGTGCTGAGCACTGGGACACCACCATGAGCAAGACTGCCAGGGTCTCTGCCCGCTGGTATTTTTAGTTTAGGGATTTACTGTATCTCCTGCTTATCTCCCCGACCAGTCTGAGCTGGGCCCAGGACTAGGTCAGCCTTCTTCCTCCCTGGGCCCCAGAGCCAACCTGACGCCTGACACAGAGCAGGTAGCAGCAGGTGTTTCTGGTACAGGAGAGCCCTGTGAACAGTAGCTGACTTTCTTTGGGGAGCAGGTTTCCCAGATACCTGATTTGGGGCCCTGCTCTGAACTCTGTGCCCGCTCAGACTTATGGACAGGGCCCTTCCCACAGAGTTCCTCTTCATTTTCTTACAAGCTACTGCTTAGCCTTAGGACCCTTTGCAGATGTCTTCTTGACACACCTGGTGTTCAGTGTATGTCCTGGGCCCCTAAATCTGCCCTAGGCTAAACGGCACCAAGTTACAGAGATCTCCTAGGAGAAGACTTTCACCTTGGAGATGGAGATACCAGGTACTACTGCCAGTGGAAGGGGATAAAGCAGAGGCTGCTCCTCTGGGGCCCAGGGGCCCTGTGCTCATAGAGGCCTAATCTGGAGAGATTCTGGGAATTAGGAGCCCATCATGTTATAGGAGAATCAGGGCTGGATGGACCGGACCAAATACTCACAAGATATCACGCCTTATGGTCTTGACAAAGATTCGAACAAAGCGCCAACCTCCGGACCCCAGGTAGAGGAACAGCAGGGAGAACCCCACTTGGATCCAAGGCAGTTTCAGCACCAGCTTGGAAAACAGCAGCACCCCCACCAAGGATGCCCCGAGCAGCATTGTGGCCTGTGGACACAGAGCAGTCAGTGGAGCCAAATGTCTATGTCCCCTACCTCCAGGCCCAGGCAGCCACTATGATCCCAAGGGTCAACCTGTAGTGAGGATTAGTCATACTGAGTGGTACCTGAGAATGCGGTCCCTTTCCAGGGCTGTCTTGAAGGGACAGGCTAGACGCTTGGGACTTGAGATGAGAGTTCCATGGCTAAGAGGCAGAGGCTGAGTTCTAGCCCCTTAGTCCCATCTCCTCCTCCAACTCTCCCTGTGACCTTGGGTTAGTTCCTTTCCTACTTTAGGCCTTAGTCTCCCCGTCTATGTTATGGGTGTAGTGGGAATTGCTCTCCGAAGCCCTTCCAGCCAAAACAGGACAGTCCACTCTCCTGACATCCAGGATCTCTAACCAAAATGGCTTGGAGAGGGGTATTAACTTAAGTGTGTCTGGCTTGATTCCTCATCCAAAGAACCTCCTTGGGTCTTTGGATGACCAGGCCAAGCCACAATACCCAAAGGGGCAGTTTCCTGGGAAGGGGCCTGGCTCTGACCCAGCTCACAAACTCGGACAGTGCCATGTATCTGCTGGCCCACAGAGGGCGACAGAGCAAACGGTTTAGAGCCTGGAGGTGCCTGAGAGGTGACTGCCTAAAAGGGAAAGGTGTTGAGGGAGCGCAGGAGGGCCCTGAAGTCACCCCCTACAAACACACTCAGCAAGCCACTCAGATGAATCTTTGGGGATTGGGCTATATAGGAAGGGGAATGGCTGAACGGACTGAGATTAGGACTCTTGGTCTCTACTCCTGGCGCTTTAGGGACTTGCTCAAGAGACAGCAGATAGGACTCAGTTTTCTTTCGGGGTTCTCCTATTCCTGGGGAGGAGCTGAAGGTCATGGCTGTGATGCAGCCTGACAGTCTCCAAGCCAGGATAAAGACATGGTCTGGACCACAGGGAGGCCTTACAGACAATCGCTGCCCCCCGCCCCCCTTCTCCACACAAAAAGCAAAAGCCGGGGGGGGGGGGGAACCAAACCAGCGCTCCCATATCCAGTGCCAAAGTCTCTAAGGTCCTCAGATCTCTGGGCTCCCAGAGCCGGCCAGGGCAGAGAACAGAAACCCGTCCCGGAAGGCTGGGGGATGGGACGAAGGGAAGAGGATGCCACATCCCTCGGGCCCCCGTCCCAGGTCACTGCGAACCGCCCTCGCCCCTAACTAAGCAGCCAGGGCAGCAGAGCGCTCGGCAAGGAGACAGAGAAGCAGGGAAGCCCCTCACCCCAGCCGGCCCCACAACTCAGTCAGGCACATTCCCCGCCCGGGACCCACTGGCCTGGTCTATGCTCACCCGGCGTCGGCCCCGCCGCGCGGCGCCCCGTCCAGATGCGACCTGGCTGCGGCAGCGTAGTGGGGAGCGCGGGGGACATGAGCCGCCCCTGGGCGCGCAGAGCCGCGTCTCAGCAGAGCTCCACCGGCTCTGCGCCCTGCACGGCCCGGCCGCCCGGCCAGCCCCGCCCGCAGCCCGGCCCCGCCCGCCCGCGGCGCTCCTCCCCCGCCCGCCTCCTGCAACACAAACCGGCTGCGCCGGCCCGCAGCACCGCCTCCCGCGCCTTCCCCGCGGTCGGGGAGCCGCAGAGACCTCGGCGCCGCGCAGCCCCAACGCACCCGACGCCGCCCGGCCCAGCCCGCTCTGCGCGCGCGACGGCCCCGGGCGGCGCCCCGCGCGGTACGCTGGGAGTTGTAGTCCGCGCTGCGCAGCCCCGCCCCGCCGCGGAGACCCCCGGGAGGGAAGGAGACGGGCGGGCTGGGTATGGGCGCAGAGCCTGCAAGCCACTGGCATTCGCACGTGGTGGGGAGCGCCCCCGCCCGCAGTGTGGGCGGAGAATCCGGAGTCTGCGCGCAGAGACGGGCAGGGCTCCACAGAGGCCAACGCCACACCTAGAAGAACGCTAAAAGGGCCGTGTAGGCGGGGAGGTGAGCTGAGGGAGGTTTAAGTAGCCGGCTCTGTGGCGCAATGGATAGCGCATTGGACTTCTAGCCGATCCTGGTGTGGTGATTCAAAGGTTGTGGGTTCGAGTCCCGCCAGAGTCGAATTTTGATAGCTCTGCCCTCACTTCCATGTGGATATTTTACGGCCTCTAGTACCTTCACGTGGTTCAGAAGATCTGCAGACTTGAGGCTGGCACCTCTGCATCTGGGACAGCGATAAACGTGACGTCAGGATTAGTGCCTAGGCGCCCTTTCCCATCCATGGTATCTTGTAAGCAGTCTGGCACACCTGGTGATACAAAGGGCACGGACCTGAAGACCTGTACCTAACTGGCCTCTGATCGCTCTGGACCTTGCAGCAAAGCAACTAGCTTCCAAGCCTACGACCGGATTTGTCATGCCACCTGCCAAGTCCTGGGTCATTGCCAGCTTCCCAGTCCTGTGTGGCTCTGGGCCTCTGAAAACTTGGTTCCTTGATAACCAAACATGTTGGGCATGCACAATTGCCACTTATCCTTTTATTTAGTTTTTTTAAGATTTTATTTATTTGAGAGAGAGCATGTGAGCAGGGGAGGAGCAGAGGGAGAGGGGCAAGCCCACACTCCATGCTGAGCCTGGAGCCCAACATGGGGCTTGAGCTCACAACCCTGAGATCATGACCTGAGCGGAAATCAAGAGTCTGTTGCTCAACTGACTGAGCCACCCAGGGGCCCCACCACTTATCCTTAAATACATCCCCTAATTCCTTAGTCCAGGAAGAAGTTCTTAAAGGGGAGAGGGGCAGTTTTCAGGGTCTAGTCATAGGGATTAAAAATGAAATTTTGGTCTGAGAAGTACTTGGACTTATTTCTTCCAGAATATAGAGTGCATCCTTTGGGGTAACCTAGGTAAATTAAAGCTCCACCTCCCCCGTCGCTATTACATTCAAGAGGCAGTGTGGTGCAGTGGTGATGGGCTTCTGCATTGGCATCCAACAGATACGGAACAGCTTCTCAGCTGAAAGTTCAAAGTCTCTACTTCTTACATATAAAAATGAGGACATACTACTAGTGCTCAAACCTTACAGAGTTTTGAGTTAGTGTTTGACCTATTTTATTTATTATTGTAGTTTACAAGCTTACTGACCACAAAGCACATGCAAAATCTAGACATGAAGATTACCTCTGATTATGTCCACAGGGCTTAGCTTGATAAATGTTTGCTGAATGAATGACAGGGAGAGTGAATTGGAGGCTCTGACTTGATCCAGGCCAGGATCCACAGGTATAGACATGATCATTTCCACATTATCTGCTGAGGTCATATATAATGTAGGCAAAGGAGAGTTTGGAAGATGGTGCTGGTGACCAGCCCGGCTGCTCTCCACCCAGCCTGGTCACGATGGTGAAGCCAAAGCAATACTCTACCCAGACCCTGGGCCTGGCCTGAGGGGGACATGTGAGGGGACATAGAGGTAACAAAACTGTCTGTCTTCAAATTGCTTACAATCTAGTTGGACACACAGAGAGGCAAGTGGAGATTAGATCACTAAATAGGTTGCCCCTCACCAAGTGCTCACCATACTTCTGTCAACACCCACCACACATTATGACTTTTCTTTGCTTCCCAGTCAGGTACATCTGGGATGCACCCCTAGCACCACCTGAAGCACTGGGCAAGTCACCTCTCCTCATGGATCCTTGGTGTCCCCATTTTTTAAAAAAAGATTTTAGGGACGCCTGGGTGGCTCAGTCGGTTAAGCGTCTGCCTTCAGCTCAGGTCATGATCCCAGGGTCCTGGGATCGAGTCCCGCATTGGGGTCCCTGCTCCGCGGGGAGCCTGCTTCTCCCTCTGCCTCTGTCTCTCTCTCTGTCTCTCATGAATGAATAAATAAAATCTTTAAAAAAAAATAAAAATAAAAAAAGATTTTATCTGTAAGCAATCTCTACGCCTGACATGGGGTTTGAACTTACAACCCCAAGATCAAGAGTCCCATGCTCTATAGACTGAGCCAGCCAGGCGCCCCTTCAGTGTCCTCATTATAGAATGGGGATACAGTCATCATGGTCCCTGCCTCCTAGGGCTGGGTATGGACTCAACAAGATGATGCGCCCACGTCAAAGGCCCTCAGCTGCTATAACCGCTCAACTCCGAGAGGGCAGGGATGCAGCTGTCTCCATCGCTGTGGGACTCCCAGCGTTTGGCCAACACTCAGAAGGTATTTGGGAAATAACCAGAGACTAGTGGGCTTGTGCGTCAGGATACACAGACCGGGGGCTGTGTGGTGGGAAATGTGACTGGAAAGGTCTTTGTGTGCCAGGCTGAGGAGTTTATCCTGGGGGCAGTGAAGAGCCACTGAGGGTTCCTAAGGGCAGGAGCTGGGTGCTATTGTTTGTGGGACAGGCTGAGCTTGGGCTGACCTCACAGTGGGCTCCTTTCCACTGACATGATCCCCATCTCCCCTGCGTTGGATAATTAACATCAGCACTTAAACCTCCAGGCTTGCCCGATGAGAGACCGACATTTGGACTCACTCGAAGGCACTAAAGTTCCCCAAGGGACCGAAGTGGTTTGGCCCCTGGCACACCGTGGATGCTTATCCTGTAGATGATGGTTACATTTGGCATTAGGACCTCTGAACTATGGAAGTCCTCACACGCTGGGTGTGTGCAAAATAAACACCTCTGGCTTCATTGTGTACATGGTGACTTCAGAGAGCTCGAAGGACCTTCCTGGAAAATGACAGCTTCTACTTCCTAAACACGGACTATGTGCTAAATCACTATACATGCATAATGGCCCTGCTGTGGGATAGGTATATACTCTCCCCGTGTTACAGGTGGGGAGCCAGAGGCTCAAAGGGTCGATGGGACTACTGCAAGGGTGCAGGGCTGGTCAGGGGCAGGGCCAGGGCCAGGTCTGTCTGTCCTCAGAGCCTGTGTCCCCAAACATTGCTCTGAGGCTAGCTACAAATGGCTTTTGTCAGGCAGAGGGAAAGAGAGCTTTCCCTGAGCTACCTGGAGAGGACTCAAGACCTGTGTGTCCCAGAACAAGCTCCCCAAACCTGAGACCCCCGGTCTTCACCGTGAAGTGAGGTTGTTGTGGGGTTCTCTGCTCTGGGCTTAGCGTCTACTCTTTCAACTAATGAAGCAGCAAGCCCCTACTGTGTGCCAAGCACTATTCCCAACAGTGAGGGGAAAGAACGAGGTTCCCTGCCCTCCTGGGGCTGACACAGAACTCATAAATAAATGAACAAATAAGATAGTTTCAGAGTGGTAAGAGCCAGAAAGAAAAGAAGGTGACATGGTGTGGTGCGGTAAGGGGGAGGGCACTTCTTCAAGTGGGTGGGCAGGACAGGCTTCTCCAAGGAGGTGCCATTTGAACACAAATGTGAATGACAAGTAGTTGACCATGTGATGACCTGGGGACAGAATGCTATTCCCAAAGATAGGAAGAAGGCCAACATAGTTTATTGAGATGAGGATGAAGTTTCTAGGTAGAAGCTGGCAGAGACTTATGGGCTTTGGTGAGAACTAAGGAAATGGTAGCTCTTTGCCAGTAGAACTTTTTTCCAGTCACGAGTTGGTGGCAAAAATGCCACCTTAAGATCTGGAGACCAGACTCCATTCCCAGCTAATCATGATGCCCAGTGCCCATCTCTCCAATGCTGTAAAGGCTCAGGGTTATTCAGGTACCAAGTGGCTGGAGCAGGTGAAGTCCCCAGTTGGGCAGAGAAGGCATTCTGTGAGCCTGACCTTTTCCCTCAAACCTGGCACTGTTGACTTTTACTGATGTGGGGGTAGGGGTGCCTGGACTCTAGAAAGCTGTGGAAACATGACAGATCCAGAAAGGTGGCCCATACTGCAAAGATGGATTAGGTCTGGAAAGCTCACCCTAATCTCCTCCTCCTTCTGCAGAAAATCAAAGAGCTCAGGACAAGGCTTCCCTCTTGAAAAGGCCCTGGATCTAAGGTAGGCCTCCAGCCTCCCACCTCCGTCACTGGGAGCCCTGGGCTGGGATGTGGTCGGCACAAGGTAGGCTGAGGCCCTGGTGTGGCAGTGTGGGGCAGGTTTCAGACAACCCCTGGTTCTAGTCCCAGCTCTGCTCCTATTGCCTCATTAGTAAAATAGAAGTAATAACACATCTCTTTGGGTTGTTGGAGGCATCAGTGCAATAATGTGTGCATCTCAATTGCTTAGGCACATAGTGCAGCTATAAAACTGTAGCCCTTATTATGGATAGGGAAACTGAGGCACAGGAAACACACCCAGGAAGTCTTGTGGCATGTGTTCTAGTTACTTCAGGCAATTCCTTGCTTATCTCTAGGCCTTAGTTGTCCTATCCACACAATGGGGAGCTGGCCCCCCAAAACTCTAAAGGCTCTGCCATCTTGAGAGTGTTTCTGGTTTCTAAATCCCAAGACAGGGCTAGCCACTCTTGCAATGATACTTTCACCCCTTGCCCCTGACCCAAAGAATATGCCTGGGTGCCACTCCAAAATGAACCAGCAGCCTCACAGCTGCCTCCTCACCTGTGAACACAATAGGAATAATCGCTTTCTGCCCCTGGGGCCCTTCCTTGGAAGCCCTTCCAGAATCCTCACAGGAACCCTAGGAAGTGGGCGTTGGTTCTCTTCCCCTTTTCCTGATGATGAAATGGGCTGAAAAGGGGAACAAACTTGCCCTAAGTCCCTCTGCTGGAAAACAATGGAGGAATTGGGAATTTGAATCCCAGTCTGTCTGGCTTCAGACCAAAGGAAAGAGGACAAGTAGCTGAAGCTCAGGCTGGAGGGGATGTCTGTCCTTGGTGCTCAAAGGCCCAAAGCCGCCAGAGCCATGCGGAGCCCTGGGCAAAGGCTGAAGAAGCGGACACTTGGTCTGATGGCAGACTTTATTCAGACAGTAGAGACTCACCTGTCCCTTCTCAGGTCTTTGGAACTGGTATAGCCCTTCCTCCTGGAGGACACCCAGGCTGGCGCCCAGAAAACCCTCATTAGCAGGGATGGGTCCAGAACAGGAGTAGTGGACCTGAGACACCCCAGCACCAGGCTGGACGACTGATTCTCCCTCACATCTGGTGCTCTTTGGGCAGCTCCTGGCTCTCCTGGGAGCTCCGCTGCCCTGCATGCTCCCTCCTGGGGTGGTCCTCAAAGCCACTCAACAGTGGTTATGACAAATTATGACAAATGAAGTCCAAGGGTCAGTGTTGAAAGAAAAGGAACAAAGGTAATGGCCAAAGAATCCTCCGCCTCTAGGGGAGGTTGGGTGGTGGTGTGGGCAGCAGCTCAGGGCCTACGCCAGGCCCCTGACATGCACGGTGGGGGGTCTGTGATGCCCAGCTCCTCCCGTAGAGCCCTCAGGGGCTGCTCCCAGCGCCGCTCGTAGTACAAGTTGAGGACGCACGGGGCTCTGCGCCCATTTTGAATTGCCCATGGGATCAGCTCTGAAACCAGCACTTGCAGGCTCCTGTGGGGCAGCAGAGTAAAAAAGACATAAGGTCCCCAGGGCTGGGCACACTATGTGCCCAGAAGTTGATGTACATTTTCTCAGTCCTCACAAATACCTTAAAAAGAAGGTAGTTATTATCCCCATTAGCAGATGAGGAGACAGAAACTCAGTGAGGTAAAATCTTGTGTCCAAAGCCATACATTTTGAATATGCCAAAGCCCAGATTTCAATCAAGGGCTACCTAACTCCAGGAACTAACACTGGATTTGCTGCCCCACCCCCTCAATTCCATGTTCTGAACCAACACTGAGGCCTGGCCCGGGAGACCCTAGAGTCCTGTGAAACATCCAGGCTTCACTCACTGCACTGGAGACCCTGCGCCAGGCCAGTTACACCCTCCTGCCCCATTCTTTCTACCCTGGCTTCCTGGAGAACATTGGGGCTGCTCAGGAAGGCTGCATGCTTGTCCCATTTCCTGGATCCTGGTTCCTCTGAGCTCTCCCCAACCCCTCACCACTTGAGAACTTACTGGGCACTGAGTCGGATCGGTCCAAAGAGGGCACCCAGGATGCACATGGGCAGGCCGGTCTGGACAGCCTCAAACCACTTCACCACGATCTCCCCTGGGGGGCAGGGCGAGGAATGGGGTGGGAGGTGAGAAGGGCCCAGGAAGAGAGGCCATGGTGCTCCTGGCAGAACAGCGCAAAGCATCTGCTCCTCTTTGATCTCTGTAGGGTTGGCCATGCCCAGTCCTGGCCCATCTGGGCCTTAGAGCACTTGGCTTGGGGTGAAGGTGAGGGTCCAAGAAAGAGTAGGAGGTAAGGGCTGGGAAGGAAGCTTGGGGTCAGAGTGCAGAGGACTCCAAAAGCCAGGCTGAGAAGTCCAGGGTGGTTCCTACAGGCCTTAGGGAGTTGTGGAGGATTTCAGAGCAGGGAGCCCCGAGGCTTGGATGCTGCTACATCAGCTTAGGAACCACAGAGGCAGTGGGGTGGAGAGATGCTGTGTGGCACAGATGCTACCAAGATGTTCGGAAAGCAGAAAATGAGGCACTGAGCTAGTGTGTGTCAGACCCGGGTGGACAGGCTGGCTGCAACACCCCACCCCACTCTGCCCATCCCCCCTCTCGAGGCAGCTGGGGGCTACCACTCACCCAGGATGTTGGTGGGCATCCCCAGCAGGGTGTGGAGCATATCGTGAACCTCCCGGTACCGCTGGATCACATAGGCTAGCTCCTCATCGTCCACGAATCGGGCGGGTGCTCGGGTATCTGGGGAGACTTTCTGACAACCATGAACCTCCCCTCAATCTCTTCCCAACTATTCCCAATGCCAAACTGGCCAGCCTCTTCTTGACTGTCAACCACTCCCACCAAACTCATACCATGGAGCATTTCCGTCCATACCTGCCAACAGGGGAGTCCTCGGGTAGAGAACATGGTGGCACTGACACCCCCATGGGCTACCCACACATAATGTCCAAGCCTGCTGGAATTTATGGCAAAGCAGCTCCTGGCGGTAGGGGGAAGCGATGTTTAAGGGGATAAGGTTTCAGTTTTACAAGATGGAAAAGCTCTGGAGGTTGGTTTCACAACAATGTGAATATATTCAACGCTACTGAACTGTCCACTTAGAGATGGTTAAGATGACAGCTCTTTTTTTTTTCTTTCTTTAAAGTAAACTCTAGGGGTGCCTGGTTGGCTCAGTTGTTAAGCACCTGCCTTCGGCTCAAGTCATGATCCCAGCGTCCTGGGATTGGGCCCCGCATCAGGGTCCCTGCTCAGCGGGAAGCCTGCTTCTCCCTCTCCCACTCCCCCTGCTTGTGTTCCTTCTCTCACTCTCTCTCTCTCTGTCAAATAAATAAATAAAAAATCTTGAGAAAAAAAAAGAAATGTATAACTTATAAAAAATAAATAAATAAATAAATAAATAAAGTAAACTCTACCCCCAACGTGGGACTAGAACTCACAACCCTGAGATCAAGAGTCACACACTCTTCTGACTGAGCCAGCTAGGCACCCCTGAGATGGCAACTCTTATGTTATCTTACCTTAAGTTATACCATGTTATGTTTTTTTAACTACAAGTAGAAATAAAATGGAGAGAAAAAGGAAAAAAGAAGTTTCCAGGGCCCCTGATACTTTCTTTTTTAAAGATTTAATTTGGGGGGGGGGGCACCTGGCTGGCTCAGTTGGTTGAGCATCTGCCTTCAGCTCAGGTCATGGAGCGCTGCATGGGGTCCCTGCTCAGTGGGGAGTCTGCTTCTCCCTCACTCAAATAAATAAAATTTATTTATAGATTTGAGAGAGAGAGAGAGAGATGGTGCATGCACACATAGGGGAGGGAGGAAGAATCCCAAGCAGACTCCAGGCTGAGTGCGGAGCCCAACACAGGGCTCGATCCCAGGACCCTGAGATCACGACCTGAGCCAAAACCAAGAGTCAACACTTAATTGACTGTGCCACCCAGGCATCCCTAATTTTTTAAAGTAATCTCTACACCCAACGTGGGGCTCGAACTCATAATCCCAAGATCAAGAGTCGCATGCTCCACCCACTGAGCCAGCCAGGTGCCCGGGCCCCGATCCTTCACATGAGCAGTTCCCAGCCTAGGGTGCTCTCCCCCACCACCCGCAGCTTCACCTTGACAATTCCTACCTGTCCTTTCTGACTCGCCTTAAGTGTCCCTGCTGCAGGGAGGCTGTCCGTGACCTTCAGACTGCTAAGGTCCACATTATGGTCTCTTGCAGCATCCCGTACCTTGTATTGTGATGTGCATTGTATGTGCCCCTCTTCTAGACCTGGACTTTTCAGTATGGCAGTCACTCACCCCATGTGGCCACCGAGCCTGGAAATGGGACAGTTCCAACCTAGCTGCAGTGGCGTAAAATGCACACTGGGTTTCAAAGACTTGGTGTGAAGAGAACAATGTGAAATCTTAGTAATTTAGAACGATCGATTACATGTTGAAATGATAGTATTTTCAGTACACTGGATTAAATAAAATAGGCTATTAAAGTTAATTCCACCTGTCTCTTTTTGCTTTTACTGAAGTGTCTAACAGCAGACTAGAAGTGACCTATCAGCTTGGGTTCGCTTTCTGTGAATGGTGCCGTAGTGGTCTTCCAGCTGCACATGGATGCTGGCTGCTTTGTTCACTGTTCTATCTCCAGGGACTTTTCTGACCCCAGGAAGGGATGAACTGTCCCTCTGATCCACCCATCGCCTCTCTGAGTCCTCAGCAGCACCCATGCAGAATGGGAGCAGCCTAGTGTTCCTGTTCCCAAAGCATGGTCTCAGCCTGTCCAGAGGCCAAAGGATCTGACGTCTTCATTTCTTTGGGGCTGCTGGCTCAGTGCCTTGGTCTGTGTCTGTGATCTCCCTGGGTCCCAGTTCCTAATTTCTTCTTGAGGGAGTTCTACATGCTGTGCAAAGCTGAGGGTGATCAGAGTGATAGCAATTATATTTATTGAGTACCTACTACGTGCCAGCACTGTATGAAGTCCTTTACATATATCATCATTAGGCATCTTTATGACCATCTGGAGGTAGATACTTTAGGAGCCTCAGATAAAGATAAGAAAAATGAGGTTCAGAGAAGTTAAGTAACTTGCCCAATATCATGCAGCTAATCAAGTGGCTGAATCAGGATTTGAAACAAAGTCTACTGGATTCCAAAGCCAGTACCTTAATATCCATTAATTATAAGCCATGTAAGTGCCCTGGAAGATAAACATTAGGTCCCCTGACCTCAGATAAAGAATATGAGGCTCAGAGAAGTCAAATAATTTGTCCAGGGCCATAAAGCTGGGAAGAGAGGTAGGATTCTAATTCAGGCTACTCTTAACTCCAGAGCCCAGGCCCATAATCTTAATGCCACAAGATGACCATACCCCCTACCAATGACAGCCTCAGGGAAGGTGGCCTCACCTTGAACTTTGATCTCAATCTCTGCTATTCCTTCACATTCTGTGGGCTGCTGGTTTCAGTGCCCTACAAGTGTCACAGTCTCTATGGCTATTATCACAACTAGGGCTGAGACTGGGCAGGCTGCCCAGGGAGGTCCTGGCAGTCCCATCCCCTCCACAGCAACAAGATGAAAGGCTCTGGGGACTTCAGAAGAAGGCGGCCACCCTGGTGGGTTTCCCATTGATGAAGTAACTTGCTTCCTGGTAACATCTGAGGAGATGGTGGAAAATGGGGCAGGATCAAGTGTCAGGAGAGTATGGGGAGCAGTTTATTTTCTCAGGAACAAATAATCTTCGAGAGCAGTAGCTTCTCAACTGTCCACCGGGGGATATTTGCAATGTCTGCAGAGATTTAGGGCTGTCATAACTTAGTGGGAGTGCTGCTAGCATCTATGTGTAGAGGCCAGGGGTGCTGCTGACCACGCTGGAAAGCACTGGGCAGCCCCTACCAACAGAGAATCATATGTTCCTGGGGCGCCTGGGTGGCTCCGCCACTTAAGCATCTGCCTTCAGCTCAGGTCATGATCTCAGGGTCCTGGGATCGAGCCCCATGTCAGTCTCCCTGCTCAGCAGGGAGTCTGCGTCTCCTTCTCCCTCCTCCCAACTCATGCTCTCTTTTTCTCTCTCAAATAAATTATATAAATAAATAAATAGATAGATAGATAGATAGATAGATAGATAGATAGATAGATAGATAGAAAGAATTATCTGGCCCGAAAAGTCAATAGTGCTGGGGGCTAAGAAGCCTAGTTCTAGAGCAACCTGCAGTGGGCTGGAGAACCACTTGACAGAGGTGCTTTGATGAGATGTGTGTATATGGGGATGGAAGGGTTGGGACAGGGAAGGTGGCCCAGCTGTGTCCTAAAGTCCTTTTATAAATCACGTTACTATCCTACTGGAAACCCTCAGTGTCTTCTATTGCTCCTATTACAAAATACAGACTTCTTCCCGTGGCTGGCAGGGTCTGGGCTAGCTCTCCTCCCAGCCACCGGCCGTCTGTCCTCCACTCACTTTTCCTTTTCTTTTTTCCTTTTTTCAGTTTTCCTTTTCTTTTTTGTTTTTTTAAAGATTTTATTTATTTATGAGAGAGAGAGAGAGAAAGCGCACACTTAAGCGATAGAGTGAGAGCAGGGGGAGTGGCAGAGCGAGAAGCAGACTCTCAGCTGAGCAAGGAGCCCGATGTGGGGCTCGATCCCAGGCCCCTGAGTTCATGACCTGAGCTGAAGGCAGATGCTTAACCCACTGAGCCACCCAGGTGCCCCATTTTCCTTTTCTTAAACACACAGGGCCTTGCAATTGCCAGAACCCCTGTTCCTCCTCATCTCTCCTTAGGGCTGGCTCCTCCTCTTCCGAGTCTCCTCAGAGGGGCCTCCTGTGACCTCCCTATGGGAAGTGGCCACCTCTGACCCCGCCTCCTTGTCCTCTCTCAGGAGGTTGTTCTCACAGCACCATCTGCTAGAATGGAAGCTCCACAAAGGCAGGCTCTTTGCTGGTTTCATTCACTGTATCTCAATTACTGAGAACAGTGCTGTACATTCCAAGGAGTCAATAAATATTTGACCTGAATTTTTATATGAAATTTTTTTCTTTTATTACTTGATTTCCTCCCCAAACCAGAATATTAGCGCCACAAGAGCAGGACTTTGTCTGTCTGGTTCACCATTCTATCCCCAGCACCTGGAACAATGGGTGACAATTGGCAGATCCTGAACACATGAATGAGTTCCTCAGCAGTTGGGACTCTCCCCACCAGCTCCTGTCCTCCCTGCCTGGGGCAGAGAGTGCCACAAGTGCCACAACTTGTCATACCCTGGGGAAAACACTGACTCTAGAACACGAGGACATAATACAGCAGTTAAGAGCATGATCTGGGGACACCTGGCTGGCTTAGTCGGTGGAGTATGCAATTTTTGATCTCGGGTTTGTGAGTTCAAGCCCCACATTGGGTATAGAGACAGACTTAAAAATAAAATCTTAAAAAAAAAAAAAAAAAGGCATGATGTGAGTATGAATACTGCCTCCATTCATACTCGGTGTATGAAATCATCAAGTTGCTTAAGTGCTCTGAGCCTCATTTCTTCATCTATTAAAGGGGATAATAATAGGACATACTCGGCAGGGAGGGTCAAGCATGAACCTTCCTGTTGGGAGGGTTCAGCAAGATCAGGTATGAGTCTGGCAGCTGACACCCAGTAAGCGGCTACTGGATACTGGCCAGTATTATTGCTTGGAGTTCCTGGCCCATTTGCCTGTCCCATAGAACGTGACAAAGCCTTGGCACAAGAGACAAAAAACACACCCGCCCATGGTGGCCAATCAGGACTCCTCCTTCCTCAGGACATCACTCCCATGCCCTTCTCTGCCTTTCCTAGTGATTGCCAAATGCACAGAAGCTGGAAACTCACATTTACATGCAAGAAACGCAGATACTCTTGGCCAAGGGAGCCCTCAGGCAGACTACGGAGCTTGTCCAGGTCAAGGGTAGACAGAGAGATCCGGGGACGCTCCCTGCAAGGCAGAAGGAAGGACTTAGGTACTGGGAGGGCAGCAGCAAAGGCAGGTGCGAGGCCAGCTAGAGCAAAGGTTTGGGAAGTGAAGGGGCAGAGAGCAACGATGGGGCCCACAAATCCTATTGTAGGACCTGCTTCTGGCCAGGACAGTGGCAGGGACTGAGGAGACTACCGCAAGCCAAGGTCATGGTTCCTGCCCGCAGTGGCATAATCTAGGGAGCAAGCCTCAGGTGGGATCAGGGTACCCACAAAGGACACTGCAGGGGGGTGGGGGTTATAGCTAGCCTGTTATGGGAGCTTAGGGAAGGCAGAGGGCCCTGTGGTGGGATCTAGGCTGAGGCCACCACATTGCACTACCCACGGGTCATCATAGTGTGTGTGTGAATGGCACCCATGGAGTTGGGCAGTGCCCAGCATGCGCAGCCCTCCATGGCCTGGGCATCAAGAAGAGCTCCCTAGAGGAACACAGTGTGACTCCAGAGAGGTCAGGATCCCCAGAGAATGTCCCCAATCCCCCAGGCACAGCTGGGACCTACTGCAGGATCTCAGCACCCTCTGGATCATTCCTCATCTGGTCCCTGAGGACCTTCAGGGCACCGTGTCCTGTGGTCTCCCCTAGAACTGCGACCATGTCTGAAAGGAAAGAAATGGGGACAAATGGAAGATATAATCTTAGGTAAGTTACTGGACCCCATCTGAGCCTGTCTCCTACATGATAAACCAAAACCCTATCTCCTCTTAGTTACGAGGATTCATGTTAAACATTTAGCAAGTCACCTGGCACACAGTAAGGGTTCAATATATGTACCTATAGTCATTATCATTGTATTTATTTAACGGGCTGATGTGGCTCTGGTTAGCACAGTGCTCTAAAGAGTTTATAAGTCACTTTTACACCCATTATTACAACGGATTATCATGCCTCCATTGATTACAGGCTTTGAATCAGAGTGCTAGGTTTGGGTTCAGGTGCAATCACTGTCTAAGTGAACTTGTGCAAAATGCTTTACATTTCCAAGCCTCAGGGCACTAATTTATGAAATGTGGAGAACACCTTTCTTACAGGGTTAATGTGAAAAATCAAGAACGTCATGCATATAAAACATTTAGTGCAGTGAGCAACCAGCATTAGGGCTCAGTGAGCAGTTAGCACTGCCATTTCAATTGGTAGGAGTAATAATCCTTTCCAGACTTAGAATCCTGAGAATGAGAAAAGTACTATAGAACCCTAAGATGTTCCAGTCATACAACCATGAGCATCTGCTATGTGCCAGGCACAATCTAAAACATGCTGATACAATGCAACAGGGCAGTCGGGGTGTCTGACCTCATAAACTTTAATTTTTATTGGGGTGTTATAATTTAATGTACGTTATAACAAACTTCGTAAATCATCTGTTTAGTACACAGGTTCTTAATGTGGCTGGATGACAGAATCTTCCGGTAGGTAGTTTATTTAAAAATGCTGGCCCTGGGCGCCTGGGTGGCTTAGATGGTTAAGCGTCTGCCTTCGGCTCAGGTCATGATCTCAGGGTCCTGGGATCGAGTCCCGAATCGGGCTTCCTGCTCCTTGGGAGCCTGCTTCTCCCTCTGCCTCTCTCTCGCTCTCCGTCTCTCATGAATAAATAAATAAAATCTTAAAAAAAAAAAAAATTTAAAAAAAATAAATAAAAATAAAAATGCTGGCCCTTCCTCTCCTCCCCAGGCTCGGGCTCATTCGGACTGAGCTCAGGGTGGGCCCTAGACATCTGCATTTTTGTGAACCTTGCGCGTGATGATGGGATGCAGCCAGATTTGGGAACCCCGACCTAGTCTATTCTCGTTACCCCTAGGGGACGGGGTAGAGAGAGAGGTGGGCACCTGCCCAGGTTCCCCAGGCAAGGGTGCGCGCCGACCCCCCGCTGCCCTCCCGGGAGCGCCGGCAACCTTACCGTGGCGGTACGGGTTATAGAGAGACATTCCGGCCGAGCCGGCGGCCAGCAGCGCCTTCTGCAGCGGGGAAGTGGGGATGTGCCCCGGGTAGAGCAGGCCGTTGGCGCCGTGGCGCACGCCTCGGAGCGGCACATCTACTGGGCAAAAAAAAAAGGCCGCGGTCAGACGAGCCTGGCGCCCCAGGCCTCCCTCCCGCCTCTGCCACTTGCCTGCAGCCGCCCCCCGGAGGCCGCCAACTCGGCGGAGAGGGCGCAGGGCCGAGCGCAGCAGCGTCCCCATGGCAGCGGGCACCAGCCGGCTTTGAAGGAGGCACGGACAGGAGAGGGCCCTATCGCTAAGTAAGAGAAGGAAACCCAGGCGACCTGTCCACCACCTACTCCCACCGAAGCAAAACTCTCCCCATTTCCCCTCACTCCCAGAAAGGCTCCCCAGTGATCCCTGCTCGGGGTTCAGCGCCGGGCACTACTGCCCTCTCCTCCGTGCGTTTTCCCCGAGGCCAATAAAGACGTGAACCTCTTCCGGCTGCGAAACGTGGCGGCACCCAGGGTCCGGACCACATTTGGGTGTGGGACCGGACGGCACTTCCGTTCAGGTGCAGCTCTTTCACCAGCCGGCGCCGCTGGCTTCGGGCATGGGGTCCCGCGGCCTAGCGCGGCTGCACGGGCTCTTCGCGGTCTACAAGCCCCCGGGGCTAAAATGGAAGCACGTGCGGGACACCGTGGAGCTGCAGCTTCTGAAGGGTGAGCGCTTCGAACCAGACCCACGATCGCGCTCTGGTTCTCCGGGAGTCCATCTCCGCTTCTGATCCTCCCGGCAAATAAAGTCATGTGACCCAGTCCTCTGGACAGAGCGCTTTCCTAATCATGTAATCTGTGTACTCCATTACTCCTCACTTTCCCCTGCGTTCAGATGTCATAAGTAATAGAGTCAGAATTTGAACCCAAGCCTGTTTCTTAACTGCTGCTATTCGCTACATCGTGGGCTTTCTCTTCTACATCTCCATACCTCCCTGTCCCACCTCCCCCGGGTGTTCGGACAGAATTGACCTGATGTCTTTTACCTTTGTGTACTCAGGTGTCAATGCTGGGAAGGCTCCTGCCCCTGAACAGCGTGTTCGTTTTCTGCTGGGCCCCGTGGGAGACGGCAAAGAGAAGGAGCTTATTCTCACTGCCACCAGTGTGCCCACCCTCACCAACCATCCGCTGGGTAAGGCACATTCAGGCTGGGGCCTGGGTGTCACTTCCCAGGCAGTTTCTGCCCAGAGTCAGTGTCCCAGTCGGTGCTCAGACTCTTGTTCCAGATCCTTGAAGGGCCACAGCAGGGATGAAATATTTGACCGGGAATTGGCAAATTTTCCTGGAAAGGGCCAGATAGCAAATATTTTAGGCTTTGCAGGCCCAGTTCTGCCATAGGGCAAAGAACCTGTAGGCAATATGGAATGCAGTGAGCCTGGCTGTGTTCCAATAAAACTTTATTTATGGAAAGTGACATTTGAGTTTCATATAATTTTCCTATGTCACAAAATACTATTTTCTTGATTTGGGGGGGGATCATTGAAAAATGAAAAAAAAAAAAATTAACTCATGGGCCATTAAAAAAAAACAGGCTTGAGAATTTGGCCTGTGGACTGTAGCTTGCTGACCCCCTTTTTTTTTTTATTTAAGATTTTTATTTATTTATTCATGAGAGACAGAGAGAGAGAGGCAGAGGGAGAAGCAGGCTTCCAAGGAGCAGAGAGCCCGATGCGGGACTCGATCCCAGGACTCTGGGATCATGACCTGAGCCGAAGGCAGACGCTCAACCATCTGAGCCACCCAGGCGCCCTTGCTGACCCCTTTTAACTATTCTGGGACTCCAAATGGGAATTGAGACCCTCAGGTAGAAGTCCTAAGGTGGGAGTTTGGGGCTCTTGGGAAAGAGTGACTTTTTTAGTCAACAAAGCTGCCCAAGAATGGAACTAGTTATAATGAGTTCCCTGTTACTAGACAAGGTTAGAAAGACTGAGGGGCTTGACCAGAAACCACTAAAATCCCTTTGGCAGTGATATTTAGTGACTCTACAGTGTAGCAATAACAAGTATGATGTACTGAGGATCTCTTCTGTACTAGATACTGTGTTAAGCTTTTACCAAGTACCATTTTATTAAATCTTCACCACAACCCTGTGAGGTGGATCCTGTTCTCATTTCACAAATGAGGAAACCGAGGCTCAGTGTTGACATTAAGTAACATAGGCTGGATTCAGTAGGCGCTTAACCATCCCGTATCCTTCCCCCAGATACCTTTTGTTCTGTAGAAGTGTATATGCTTCTGGCTCATTCCTGCATGCAGTCTTTTTTTTTTAATAGCGTTATTGAGATATAATTGATACACAAAAACCCACATTTTAAAAATGTTTTTAATTTTTTTTAAGATTTTACTTATTTATTTGAGAGAGAGTGCAAGAAAGGGAAGGGACAGAGGGAGAGGGAGAAGAGTCCCTGCTGAGCAAGGAGCCCAGTGAGGGACTCGATCCCAGGACCCTGGGATCATGACCTGAGCCGAAGGCAGACACTTAACCAACTGAGCCACCCAGGCATCCCTCACTAGTTATTTCCTGAGCACCTAGTAAGCTCTGGGCTCTAGGGTTAGAACTTGGGACCCAGGCCCTGCCTTCAGGAACTTACCACCTCCATTTTCTTACTGGGGTGGCCAGGACTCTCTGCCGCAGCTGAGTAGGAAAGTTGAGTCCCAGTGTTCTGCCCAGTCCCCTCAAAGCCTCTCACCAGGGGAATGGTGATAGGTAGAGTAACAAGCCCTTTTTGTGGGCCCAGGGACCCGAGGAAATGGTTCGAGGCCCCAGATTCCACATGGGGAAGTCTGAGAGTCCAACCTGATCCTGGTTTGGGCTCCATGAGGCTACATCCTAGGAATGAGGCCATGATGCAGGCTGAAGTCATCCTGGAGGCTGGATTCATTGAGCAGAGGGACCTCGTTTGTTTCTTTCTAGTCTGTGGACCAGCATTCACCAGCTTGAAGGTTGGCATGGGACACCGGCTGGATGCTCAAGCATCTGGGGTGCTTGGTAGGTAATGTGGTGAGCCCAGGGGTGCAGGGATACAGTCTCGGGAGAAGATCAGGGAGCTGCCATGAACCCCGCCCACTTCCAGCCTGACCGCCATTTCCCACCGCTGCCCTCCTCCCCTGCTTCCTACCCCAAGTCTGGTCAGCTGGTGGAAGTGGGGATGGCACAATTGCCCACTTTTATCAAGTGATTCCTGCATTCGACATGCGGTATGAAGTCCTTCGTGCACATGTTTTCATGACAACAACCTTATTAGGTAGATAGTTTATGATTTTATGGAGAAAAGAAGGCTCCAGGAGCTTAGGTGACTTGGTCTGGGTCATGTGGCTAGTGAATGCCCCTGGTCCAGGGAGCACAAACTGTCATCACTTGTGTGGGTTAGCCAAGCGTGTGACTCTGGCCCCACTGGCCAGGGTCTGAATGTCGCTGGAGCTGGACACACATAAAGCCCTGAGTCATGAGCCATCTGTGTCCCCAGGGTCAGGTGGTGGCCACATCCTCCATGCGCGGTAGTCACAGTCCCCTTGTCTCACTTCCTGGGGCACAGGCAGGCAGACATGATGTCATGCTCCCTCTCCCTGTCCTCCCTCTCCAGGAGTGAATGGAGGGTCATTCTCTCCTCCAGCCAGAGGGAGAAACAGCCAGGAAAAGGCAGGCAGTGGCCACAATGCCCCTTTATTGGGCCCTTCCTTTGTGCTCACTTCTTCCTGTGTATTGCCTCAGTCTTCACAACACCCACAGGGATCAGACAGGATCTTGTATCCCCATTTTACAGATGGGGATCTTGAGGCCCAAGGATGCTAACGGACATGCTTAGAGCCATCCCAGATTTGAGGGCAGGTCTGTGTGATTGGGCCCCTGGTCCCTTTCTTTGGAGTGCATCAGAACCCCCTAGGGCACTTACTAAGGATCCGAGGCCCCTCCATGAGTCAGAGTCAGTACAAGTGGGTGGGCCTCGAAACCTACATTTTCATATCTACCCAGGGGAGCTCACTTGCTCCCTGTAGAAGAAGCTGTCCTTGCCCTCTTGCTGGCTTTAGCAGCATCAGAGATGGAAGGATTCTCGTGGTAGTTGTGGGGGTTGGAGGTCTCAGGGAAACGAGAAGGGGGAGCCAGGTGTGAGATCAGCCTGGGTGTCTTCCAGTGCTCGGCGTGGGACATGGATGCAGGCTCCTCACCAGCATGTACAATGCTCACCTCACCAAGGTATGGGGACACTGGGGACAGCTTGTTTAGCCCATTTCCCTGGGGCTCACTGGCAGGAATCTGAAGCTGAGAGCACTGCATGGGGGAACACCTAGGCCATCAGCCAGCGTTGTTTCATGGCCGTGTGCTGGGGGAGACTGTAAGGATAGCATGGTAATGACCGCTGGCCTTATTGCATGCCGGCCGCTCTTTGCTGAGCACTGCACGTGGACTCCCTTGTGGATGCCTCACACCCTCCCCGCAAAGTGGTATCTGCTGTTAACCCACCTTACAGATGAAACCACCGAGGCACAGAGAGGGGATGTCATTTGCCCAGGGTCGTGCAACCTGTAAGGAATGGAACTGCGATTTGAACCTGGATCTGTCTGACCCCAGAGCCTGATCATGACAGCACTCCATTCCCCCCACCCCTCCCCACCCCACCAAGACTGAGAGGTGGATGTCACCATCCAGGCATCAGGGAGCTTGCATCTGGGCTGGGGCTGTAGAATCCAGCACCATGAGAGGGGACAGAGGTGCTGCGTTAGAGAGCCTCCATTTTTAGTGGTTAAGAGCACAGATCTGGAGCCAAACCAGCTTCTGCCCCTCTGCCCGCTGTGGGCCCCCAGGTGGATTACTTAACATCCGTCTTCCTCCATTTCCGCGTCTGTAAGATGGGGGAGATAATAGTACCTCCTCCATAGGGTTACTCTGAAGATTAAGTTAGTGACTACCTGCACCATACTTAGCACAGTCACTGGCGCATGGTAAATGCTCAGTAAATTATTATTGCTGTTGTCGTCATCCCTTCCTTATGGCAGAGGCTGTTAACTGCACAGATCATATGTGGAGGCTGGGGAGAAGCTGACAGGGTGCACTGGGAGGGGCCTGGCATGATAAGTTGTCAGGTCTGGCTGGAGAGGAGAGACGTGGAGGCACAGGGTAGTCACCATCCTTTGCGGGCAGGTGCTTGCTGTCATAGGGAAGTCTGGTGCCTTTCCCTGGGGGGACAGTGGGGTGGCTGGGTGGGGGCTGAGTGCCTGGCTTCCTGAGGGGAGCCTGTCTAGCAGGTTCGGGGTGGGAGCTGCTGGACGTACCTCCCTCCTCAGTGCTGAGGGCAAGCAGGGAATCTGACCCCATCTTCCCCTCCCTATCTCTGCAGGATTATACAGTACGTGGTCTCCTGGGCAAAGCAACAGATGACTTCTGTGAGGATGGGCGGCTGGTGGAGAAGTCAACATATGGTGAGAGCCCGCAGGCGCCCAGGGCCGTGGGAGGAGAGTGGCTATGTCTGCCTTTGCATTTGCTCTCCCTTGATTCCTCACCCCCACGCAGGCCTTGCAGCCCTCAGTGACTGCAACACACTGAGTTTGGGCTGGCTGTTGGAGGCCTTTGGGCACATCATTCTGTCTTGCAGGTATAATTGCCCGGTGCCTCCCCACCTGGCATAAATGTCACCTCCCCAGGGAAGCTCCACTAACCCCCAGATGAACTAGATGGACTCTTAGAACAGTAATCAACTAATGGTTGTGATTTTTTTTTAAGTTTGAGAGAGAGAGAGCGAGAGCGAGCGTGGGGTGGGGATTGGCAGAGGCAGAGAGGGAGAGAGAATCTCAAACAGACTCTATGTACCGAGCGTGGAGCCTGACACAGGACTCAATCCCAAGACCCCAAGATCATGACCCGAGCCGAAATCAAGAATTGGACGCTCAACCGACTGAGCCACCCAGGCGCCCCATGATTAGTGATTATTTAATATCTGTCTTCCCACCACACTGTCACCATGGGAGCAGGGACCATGTCATTCCACTCCTGTGGTTACACACAGCACGGAGCCTGGGACATGGGAGGTGCTTGTTGGTTGGGTGGATGGATGGAGAAGTAGGTTGCAGGGGTGGGGTGGGGGGTGGATAGATGGTTCGATGGCTCATTCTTCACTTCTTACCCTCCCTATGTTCTAACACTTTCCATAGGATCTATTACATTTTCTTATTTGACAGATGTTTTTGGGCACCAGCCATGTGCCAGGGTCTTGATGAACCAGATGGGGCCCCCAGTCTCAGTGAACCCAGTCTAGCAGGGAGAGCAAACACACACCTCCGCATCTTCTAGACAGGATTCAGAACGTGGCAGAGTAACACTATATAATCTGTATATGTGGGTGTATCAGCATACAAAACATGTCCAAAGACAGTTACCAATTTGACACTCTAGTAGGGAAGAAGCCCGAATTTGGAGAAGGGGAGGTGCTGTTAATGCTGATCTAAATTTTTTTTTTTTTTAAGATTTTATTTATTTATTCATGAGAGACAGAGAGAGAGAGAGAGAAGCAGAGGGAGAAGCAGGCTCCCTGCTGAGCAGGGAGCCCGATGCGGGACTCAATCCCAGGACCCTGGGATCATGACCTGAGCCGAAGGCAGACGCTTAACCATCTGAGCCACCCAGGCACCCATGGGGCAGAGGGAGATCTTAAGCAGACTCCACGCTGAGTGTGGAGCCCAGTGTAGGGCTTGATTTTACGACCCTGAGATCATGACCTCAGCAGAAATCAAGAGTCGGGTGCTTAAACCACTGAGCCACCCAGGTGCCCCCTGATCTAAATTTCTTAAAGAAGAGGGGTGCCTACTTAAGATCCTCTCCCTCTGTCCGTTCTCCTTGCGGGCACAAGTGTGCACGTGCTCTCTCTCAAATAAAATAAATCTTTAAAAAAAAAATTTCTTATTTATTTATTTATTTGTTTGTTTGTTTGTTTGTTTATTTATTTATGAGATAGAGAATGAGAGAGAGCACATGAGAGTGGGGAGAGTCAGAGGGAGAAGCAGACTCCCTGCTGAGCAGGGAGCCCGATGCGGGACTCGATCCAGGGACTCCGGGATCATGACCTGAGCCGAAGGCAGTCGCTCAACCAACTGAGCCACCCAGGCGCCCTAAAAAAATAAATTTCTTAAAGAAGATTCATATGTCAATTATATAACTAAAAAATAATGTTAAAACCAAAGCATATTAAAGACTTTTTTTTTTTTTTAATTTATCTGAGAGAGAGCACAAGCAGGGGGAGCTGCAGGCAGACGGAGAAGTAGGCTCTCCACTGAGCAGGGAGCCCGATGTGGGACTCGATCCCAGGACCCTGGGACCATGACCTGAGCTGAAGGCAGACACTTCACCAACAGAGCCACCCAGGCATCCCAAACCAAAACAAATTAAATGCTCGGAAAGAGACCCAGGACGCAGGAAAAAGAAGTGACATGCTCCAGGAGGGCTTCCTGGAGGAGGCTGCATTTGAGCTGGGCTGTAAATGAGGAGGGAGGAGGCAGTGGTAGGTACATTTCAGATAAGACAACGGCATGAAGAAAGCCAGAGAGGGGATAAGAGGCCTAGGCTAGGGCGCCTGGGTGGCTCAGTTGGTTGAGCGACTGCCTTCGGCTCAGGTCATGATCCTGGAGTCCCGGGATCGAGTCCCACATCGGGCTCCCTGCTCAGCAGGGAGTCTGCTTCTCCCTCTGATCCTCCCCCCTCTCATGTGCTCGCTCTCTCTCTCATTCTCTTTCTCAAATAAATAAATAAAATCTTTAAAAAAAAAAAAAGAGGCCTAGGCTAGGCCCTTCCAAGCTGGCAGGCCTTTGATCACCACACCTGTGCCCAGAACTATGGCCTTTGGAGCCAGAAGTTGGCGCTTGCCCAGCTGGGCCCCAGGATCAGCCTCTTAGCAGTTTGTGAGCATCCCTGGGCTTAGCAGCTGCCTGCCCTAGTCACTCGATGGTACCAGCAGGCAGAGCCACTGCCTCTTGCCATCTGTGTCTGCATTCAGACAGATGGCCCTCTCCCTCCCAGGGTCCCTGGCATAAAAGAACCCAGATTGGGGCTCAGGGGACTTGGCTTAGAATATTGGATAAGTCATGTTACGGCTTTGAGCCTCATTTCCAAAAGAAACTGTTCTTAACTTGGAGTCTGTGAACCCCTTAAAAATGTCCTCACAATGCTGAGTTCAGGCATAACTTTCTGAGAAGAGGTTCCTGGGCTTATAGAGTCTCAAAGGACTCATAACCCCTAAATGGGAGCCCTGGGTGCTCTGGGACCCCTCCAGTTTCCAAGGATGGGGCTGGTTTGAGGGAAGGGAGTTTGCCAGTTTGTTGTTGCCTGTCCTCAGCAGGCACTCGTGTGCTGACCATCCCCTGGCTTTTCCAGACCATGTGACCAGAGAGAAGCTGGACCGCATCCTGGCCCTGATCCAAGGTTCCCATCAGAAGGCCCTGGTGATGTAAGTGGGGCCCAATCCACACTTTGCTGAAAGGGGCCCTTGAAGAGGTGCTGGAAGGGTAAGAAGTACCCACTGGGCTCCCTGTAGGCTCCGCCCACCCTGGGGCAGGTTCCATGGACCTTCTTTTTAGAGCCCAAAAGCAGACATGAACCAGCCCTTCCTTCTATAGCACGCAGAAGTGTTTCTTTGTGCCAGGCCAGCCCCTGGGGAGACCAAGGGGGAACAAGAGACCCCAGCTAGCCTCAGGGAGAGTATATGATTTAGTGGAGAGGGAAGCCAGGAACCCACATCATATGACCTAGAAGCAAGGGGCGGGAGCAGGCAGCATGTACTTGACCGGAAGCTAGGGAGACTGCAGAGGAGGGCAGAGCCTGCATTTAGGGATTGGAGGAGACAGAAAAAGGCAGCTGGAGGGGCAGGGAAGCTGGAAAGCGAAAGAAGAGCTTTAGGAAAGCTCTTCATGAGTGGGGCAGGGCCAGGGGTAAACAGTGGGCCCAGCTCCCCATCCCATGCCAGCCCCGTTTTGATCCCCAGGTACTCCAACCTGGACTTGCAGACCCAGGAGGCCTATGATATGGCTGTGAGAGGCTTGATTCGTCCCATGGGCAAGTCCCCGATGCTGGTAACGGGCATCCGATGCATCTTCTTTGCGCCTCCGGAATTCCTCATAGGTACGTTGCCCCAGGAAGTTGGAGCAATGAGATTGGGCTCCTGGGTTTGGGGAGTCATTGTGAAATGCCCTTGTAGACCCCAGCACACGCCCGCCCTGATCTCTGCTGGCTAAGGCGCCAGGGGCCAGCTTCCTTCTCAGCCCCCGACTGGAGTTGGCCCATCCACACAGCACTCAGATCAAATCCTGTCCTATATGCTGCCAAGTTACACTTTGAAACCAGACCTTAGCGAGAAGTTAATACTTGGTGGTTCATTTCCAGTGCCTCCCAGTGTTTCAGGTTGCAGTAGGCCATCAGACAGCACCCTCATCTCCCCAGTCCCACCCAGCTTGGCCCCTCCCTCCTTTCTTCTCTCTTCGTCTTACTAACAAGGGCTCCTTGAATGCTGACCAGGACTCTCCCAATGATAAGCACCTTATGTACATTATCTCTTAAGATTCCTCACACCCACCCATTTTACAGATGAGCCTTAAGTCTTAGACCAGAGTAGCCTTCTGGAAGTTAACCTGCCCACAAAACTCCTGGGGGTCTTCAAAAAAAAGCAAACTCTGATTCTGCAGGTCTGGGTGGAGCCCAAGATTCTGCACATCTAATCAACTTTCAGGGCTGGTCCAATAGCAAAGCCCTGGAGAGCTAAGGCCTTTTGCTAAGGTTATCACATAGCCAAGAGGTATCAGGGGTGTGGATTTAGATGCACAGATACCAGAGGCCATGCTCCCAGCCTTCAGACCCGTTGTTTGCCCCTGGCAGAGGTACAGTGCATGCATGAGACACAGAAGCAGCTGAGAAAGCTGGTGCATGAGATCGGCTTGGAGCTGAAGACCACCGCTGTCTGTTCCCAAGTGCGGCGTACGCGGGATGGCTTTTTCACCCTAGACGATGCCCTTCTGAGGACCCAGTGGGATTTACACAGCATCCAGGATGCCATCCAGGCCGCAGCTCCCCGGGTGGCAGCAGAGCTGGAGAAGAACTTGAGGCCGGGCTGGGCACCCAGCAGCTTCCCAGTCCAGGCCAGCCCTGGGACTCCAGGGGGCCAAGCTCTGCCTCGGGGCTGGAGAGCTGTGCAGGGCATTGAAAGGCCAGGGGCTGGCGGGACAGTGGATGGATAAGATAAGAATTGTTCTGAGCTGGAACTGATAACTGTGCAGAATGCAAGAGTAAGGGAAGAACATGTGACATAAAACTCTGAAACTGTAAGAAAGAAAATCAACAGACTTGACCCAATGGAAAAGGAGAAACTTCTATATGGAGGAAAAGATGATAAACTAATGATAAGACAGATGAAAATACTTGTAATATGTTTAAGAATGAATATCCAGGGGTACCTGGGTGGCTCAGTCAGTTCAGCTTAGGTCATGATCTCAGGGTTCTGGGATTGAGCCCCATATTGGGGCTCCCTGCTCAGCAGGGAGACTGTGTCTCCCTCTCACTCTGTCCCTCCCCCCTGCTTGTGCGCATGTGCCCGTGCTCGCTCTCGCTCACTCGCTCTCAAGTAAATAAAAATCTAAAAAATATATATCCATAATATATAAAGAGTTCTTATAAAACAGTAAGAAAAAGGGCACTTGGGTGACTCATTCGGTTAAGTGTCTGCCCTCAGCTTAGGTCATGATCCCAGGGTCCTGCACCCCTGATGAAGTCCCACGTCAGGCTCCGTGATCAGCGGGGAGCCTGCTTCTCCCTCTGCCTCTGCTTCTCCCCCTGCTTGTGCTGTCTCTTTTTCAAATAAATAAATAAAATCTTCAAAAAAATTAACAATAAGAAAAAGATAAGAAAATTGGGCAAATGACATGAATTGTGTATTTATATATATAAAAAGAAATCCATATGGCCCATAAACCAGAAATGATGCTCAACCTCTCTAATAATGAGAGACATACAGATGAAAATGATAACGACTTTTCCTTGCCTTTCCAAACAATAAAAAGAATATCCAATATTGGTGATGATGTGAGAAAATGGGCAGTCTGTGCTATTGGTAGGAAGGTGCAACTTCGTAACCTTTTAGGAGTAACTTGGTAGTATGTGTCAAAATTAAAAATACTCCTGCTCTGTGACTCAGCAGTTACAGTTTCAGGAATCTGTCTTCTGGCATAAGTTGCAGACAGTTTTAGGTACTTAGATGGTCATAGCTACAATGTAATAGTAATAAATAGGAAATGCCATTACCATCCATCAGTAAGGGACTGGTTAAATAAATATGGGGCATACAGTGTCAAAAGGCTCTATTCTAGGGGAGCCTGGCTGGCTCAGTCTGTAGGGCAGGCAATGCTTGATCTTGGGGTTGTGAGTTGGAGACCCACGTTGGGTGTAGAGACTACTTAAAAAGGCTCTATTCTAATACCCTCAGGAAAATGATCAACAACCAATTTTTGGGGGTGCCTGGGGGGCTCAGTGGGTTAAGCATCTGCCTTCGCTCAGGTTATGATCCCAGGGTCCTGGGATTGAGTCCTGCCCTGGGCTCCTTGCTCAGCAGGAAGTCTGCTTCTCCCTCGGCCTCTCCTCCCCCTCGTGGCGTGTGCATGCGTGGGCGAGCCCTCTCTCTCTCAATCTCTCTTGCAAAAATAAAATCTTAAAACATTTTTTTTAGCCATTTTTTCCTGCCAATTTGATTTTCCTAGGCTTTGGACACTTTGATCCCATGTGGATGGGTGTTTTTTTGTTTTATTTTGTTTGTTTGTTTGTTTGTTTGGGCCTGGCTCTCTTTTAACCTCTATCCATGTGGCTATTTTCCCACTCGGAACATTTGGGCTAAAAGGAACAAGTTGGCCTCTGGCTAAGGTTCCAGTCTGCGCCCCGAGGGGAAACCCTGCATGTCTCTTCTCCCCCCTACCCGCGGCACCCTGGGAGAGGAGGCCCCAGCCAGCAGGGCTCCTTCACCTTCACGTGGGGGCGGCGCGCAGCTCAGAGTGGTGCTGAGCAGGTGTGGTTCTGCCGGCTTCTGGCTGTGGGGCCTCAGGAGTGCAGCTCCCTCATACGTTAACCTGGGAATGATGATTTTGCCTACCTGGTAGGGTTGTAGCAATGAAATCATGGTGAGGTGCTTGCCTTGGTGCCTTGCATGACCTGCGCTCTGTGTAAGCCAACCGCTTGCTGTGGCTCCTTTCTTCTGAACAGGGACCTATAAGAGTTGTCGCAGAGTCAGAGGCCTTCTGTCCCTCACCTCCTGATTATCTGGCATAAAGATCAGCTGGGAACTTGACAAACATACCTCAGCCAGGTGATCAAGGTCAGCAGCCACAGGGATGAGTCGTGTTGCCGGTATGTCCTCTTGCTATGATATAATGAAAATGGCCCTTTACCTCCGTGGTCTTCCTCCCAATAACCCAGGGTCCCAGTCTTGTAAGGAGAACACGGGGCAGCTTTTGGTAGTGCGGCATCCTACACAAGGCCTGACCAGTACTTCTCGGGGCTATCACGGTCATCGAAAGCAGTGAAGTCTGAGAAACCACCATAGCCAAGAGGAGCCTACGGAGACATGAAGACGAGATGTACTGTGGGGGGACCCCTGGGTGGCTCAGTCTGTTAAGCATCTGCCTTTGGCTCAGTCATGAGCCCAGGGTCCTGAGATCTTAACCAACTGAGCCACCCAGGCATCCCTGGAAATCTGCATTTTAGCAAGTCTCTAAGGATTCTGATACCAGAGCTGTAAAAACAGGGCCCCGCAGGAGCCAGCTAGGCATGGTCATTCCCTTCTGGTCTTCAGGAACCACCTGGACGGCTATTTGAGGGCCATTTGAGAAGAGATTAGCCGACAGCCACGAATGACAGGGTATGGTGAGCTCGTTTACCGGGGGCGCACTAACAGAGTACCACGAACCAAGGGGCTGCAACAGTGGAAAGCTATTATCTCGCCACAGGCTAAGCACAGAAGGCTGGGGGTCCAAGAGCAGGGTGTCGGCAGGGTCAGCTCTTTCTGAGGGATGTGAGGAAGACACTGTGCCAAGCTTCTCTCCTGGCTTCTGGTAGTTTGCTGGCAATCTTTGGTGCTCCTTGGCTTGTAGAAGCGTGGCTCACATCTCTGCCTTCACATTCATGTGGCCTTCTTCCTGTGCGCATGGCTGTGTCCAAATTTCCCCTTTCACAAGGACACTGGTCAGATGAGGTACCCACTGTAGTCAGTATGACCTCTTCTTAACTAATTACATCTGCAATGACCCTATTTCCCAAAACAGTTCACATTCTGAGGTATTAGGGATTAGGACTTCAACATGAAAATTGTGTAGGGACACAACTCGACCCACAACACATGGCTAGACCTTCACCTGGGCTGGCTCAGTGCTCCTTAGAGCACTATTATCACATACCCAGAAGACTCCCCCAAGGTCAGGGCAGGCTCCATAGTCCCCTCCACATCTGCTGCAGATTGGGGCAGTGGGGAGGGCTCAGGGCCCCAGTGGATGTGGAGGGTGGTGACCCAGGGTCAGGGAATCTAGCTATCCCCTCCGGGGCCTCTTTCCAGGGCTTTCACCAAGCATCTCCCCTTCCCTTGTCCAATTAAGAATTTAAACTTTTTTTTTTTTTTTAAGATTTTATTTATTTTTTGACAGAGAGAGAGACAGCGAGAGAGGGAACACAAGCAGGGGGAGTGGGAGAGGGAGAAGCAGGCCTCCCGCTGAGCAAGGAGCCCGATGTGGGGCTCGATCCCAGGATCCTGGGATCATGACCTGAGCTGAAGGCAGACGCTTAACGACTGAGCCACCCAGGTGCCCCAAGAATTTAAGCTTTTTATTTGCACTGTATATAAGAAGTCTATCTGGATCTCATTCTAGAATTTACAAAATTTGGGTAGTTGGTCTTAGATTATAAAACAGGAAAATGGGGCATTTGGGTGGCACAGTCGGTTTTGTGTCCAGCTCTTTGATTCGGCCTGGGTTGTGATCTCAGGGTTGTGAAATTGAGCCCTGCATCAGGCTCCCTGCTCAGTGTGGAGTCTGTTTGAGACTCTCTCTCCCTCTCCCTCTGCCCCTACCCCCTGCTCACTCTCTCTCTCTCAAATAAATAAGTCTTTTTTTTTTTTTTTTTAAGATTTTATTTATTTATTTGACAGAGACAGTGAGAGAGGGAACACAAGCAGGGGGAGTGGAGAGGGAGAAGCAGGCTTCCCACTGAGCAGGGAGCCCGATGTGGGACTCGATCCCAGGACCCTGGGATCATGACCTGAGCCGAAGGCAGACACTTAATGACTGAGCCACCCAGGCGCCCCTCAAATAAATAAGTCTTAAAAAATTATAATAAATGTATCTCTCAGGAGTCTGTTGAGTTGAGGGCTTTGTCTGCTTCATTCACTGGAGGCCACACCATGGGCTCCTAGGATGGGATATGTGTTTATCAAGGCTCTTCAGAGAAATAGGACCAACGGGAAGTGTGTATCTAGAGAGAGATTTGTTTTAAGGAATTTGCTCACATTGGGTTGCCTGGGTGGCTCAGTTGGTGGAGTGTGTGACTCTTGATTTCGGAGTTGTGACGTGGAGCCCCACGTTGGTGTAGAGATCACTAAAAATAAATAAATAAAAAAACTTCAAAAAATTTGCGCACATGATCGTGGAACCTGGCAAATCCAAAATCTGCAGGGTAGGGCAGCAGGCGGTAAGCGGCAGGCTGAATACCCAGCAGAGAGTTGCAGTTGCAGCTCGAGCCCCAAGAAAGTCTAGAAACAAAATTCCCTCTTCTTTGGGGGACCGCCAATTTTTTTTCCCCCTTCTTATTTTAAGGCCTTCAACTGATTGGATAAGGCCCACCCACACTGCAGAGGGTAACCTGATAAATCTACTAAAGCACATGTTAATTTCATTGCCTTCGCAGCAATATGTAGACTGGTGTTGGACCAAGTATCTGGGTACTGCCCCCAAACCTCATCACAGCAGGATGTGTCCCTTTTTCATCTAGGAACACAATATATGCTCCCTCTTCGGGCTGACGTGGTCCAAGGGGCCCTGTGGGATTGACCACCTGGGTTTGAATCCCAGCCCTGCCTCTCCTCAGTATGTGAGCTGGGCCAGTAACTCCACGTGGGTGAGTCTTGGTTTCCTCCATCTGTCAGGTAGAAGTGATGACAGTGGTGCCCGTTTCATGCAGGGATAAGATGAGCCGAGATGAGCCAGATGAGTAAGTGCCTCCAGAGAGCTTGCTTTGTGCCAGGCCCTGGGCTAAGAGCCGTAACATACCCAATCTCATTTAATCCTCAAATGGGCCTAGGGTTTAAGCACTATGGCCATCCCTGGTTTACAGAAGAGGAAACTGAAGGCAAATGACATGCCCTAGGACACCCCAGCAAGGGAGTTCAGAGCCAGGGATAGGATCTATGCTGTCCGGAGTCAGCCTTCCTAACCACTACGCCATCCTGCCTGTCTGCTGGAGCGACTGGTGGCTTACTAACTAGTCCCAGGCATGGCACACAGTAGGTGCTTAGTAACTGTGTTTAAGGAATTGAATACGTTGTGATATTGAGATATAATAAGAAATACATGGTCTTCCTCCCCAGGTTCTGGCCAGAGCACCTACAACCATCGTGATTTCCTAAGTGACAAAGGTGAAAGGAACACCTTTTGTCATTCATAATAAGGCCCCACTTCAAGCACACCTACCCACTGAATGGGAGCTCCATAAAGCCCCCTAAATGATGTGGTTCAGAGAGCTTCCATGTTGGGGAACACATCTAGGTGCCAGGAGGGTGGCACACCCTGAGAGGACATGGGAGCTCCACGCCCCTCCCCACATACCTTGGCAAGGAGCCCTGTGTGGCTCTTGCATTTGGCTGTTGCTGAGTTGTATCCTTTAGAGTAAACTGGTCACCAAAGTGTTTCTCTGAGTTCCATGAGCTGTTCAAGCAAATGATCAAACTTGATGAGGGGGTCGTGGGAACTCCCGATTCATAGCCTGTCGGTCCGCAGACATGTGACCACCTAAGACTCGCAATTAGCGTCTGAAGTGGGGGCCGTCTTGTAGAACTGAGCCCTGAACCTGTGGGTTTGCTGTTAATTCCAGGCCAGTTAGTATCAGAATTGAGTTAAAATTGTAGGACACCAGCCCTTGTCCACAGAGAATTGTATGGAAAATTGCACACGTGTGGTGTCAGCAGAGAGGGAAGTTTTTCTTTTCCCTGGATGTGAGTTCAGTACATATATGTTGACTACATGGACTAACCCAAATAGTCAATTTTTTTAACAAAGTGGAATTATAATATGCACGGTGTGTTACAACTTGCTTCTTTCATGTGTGATAGAGTGTGGCCATTTCTCCCTGTCTGTCCACCAGGTATGGGAGCTCCTTCCTCCAGACCCCATGCGGGTGGCCCAGGGGTACAGGAAGGCTCCGACCTTCTCCCACCTTGGGCTGTTCCTCTCTATAGAACACGTTGTTGCCAGTAGGATGGGGCAGCTTTCCCCAAGGCCTGGCTTCCAGCCACTTTATCCAGAATTGGACTAACAAATATTTGTTGAGTGCCCACTATTTTCCTGATCCTGTAGTAGGCACCAGGAATACGTCAGTAAACAAGACAGCCCAAACACCCAGTGGAGAATGTTAAATAGGGCAGTTTGAGAAGGGGTCATTTGAATTGAGAAGGGATCATTTGAATAAAGAGCTCAAGGAGGTCAGGCATGGAGCCTGGGAAATCATCTAGAAGAAGAAGCCTTTGAGGCCAAGGAACAGCAATTGCAGGTCAAAGAGTACCTATCTGACTTATCAGGGGACAAAAGATCCTCTGTGGAGATGCAATATCCAGATTGGTTTGATTGCCTCTGAATAAGAATCATCTTGAGGACCTTTGCACCTAAGGTAAGTGTCCTGTGTTGTCAGAAGGTGGGACTTTGGACCTTTAGCTTCATAATCTGACTGAGAATCTGCTGAATGGAAGATCCATCTGGGTTTTGTCATCTGTGCATTTTCTTGAACCTCACGGGGTAAGGGCCAGGGTGACCAGGATTTGTTCCTTCCGAGAGGCTCCGACCCCTCCAGGCCTCTCTTCTGCACTCCCACCAACAACTTCACCAGAAGGTAGAAAGTGGCTGCCCACGATGCCTTCCTGAAAAACTAAGCTGGTGCTATCACTATCAGTTATTCCCAGGGCCCAGTTCGGGGCCACATTTGGTGATCAGCAGGCCAAGTGCTTTGAAAAGGACAGTGATATTAACAAGAGCACCTATCATTTACTGCGGGCTTCTGCTGGCTCCCTCCCATGACCACCCCGCTATGAAAGATACCATGATTGGGGCGCCTGGGTGGCTCAGTCGGTTAGGCGTCTGACTCTTGGGTTTAGCTCCAGGTCATGATCTCAGGGTCTTGGGATCGAGCCCCCATGTGGGGCTCCACTCACAGCATGGAGTCTGCTTGAGACTCTCTCTCTCCCTCTCTCTCTGCCCCTCCCTCTGCTTGCACACCCGCTCTCTAAATCAATCAATCAATCAATCAATCAATCAGATCTTTAAAAAGAAAGAAAGAAAGGGGCACCTGGGTGGCTCAGTTGGTTAAGCGACTGCCTTCGGCTCAGGTCATGATCCTGGAGTCCTGGGATCGAGTCCCTCATCGGGCTCCCTGCTCGGCAGGGAGTCTGCTTCTCCCTCTGACCCTCCTCCCTCTCATGCTCTCTGTCTCTCATTCTCTCTCTCTCAAATAAATAAATAAAATCTTTAAAAAAATAAAAAAATAGAAAGAAAGAAAGATACCATGATTGGGGCGCCTGGGTGGCTCAGTCGGTTAGGCGTCTGACTCTTGGGTTTAGCTCAGGTCATGATCTCAGGGTCTTGGGATCGAGCCCCCATGTGGGGCTCCACTCACAGCATGGAGTCTGCTTGAGACTCTCTCTCTCCCTCTCTCTCTGCCCCTCCCTCTGCTTGCACACCTCTCTAAATCAATCAATCAATCAATCAGATCTTTAAAAAGAAAGAAAGAAAGATACCATGATTATCCCCATTTTATGGGTGAGGAAGCTGGCAGGGAGAAACACCCTACCCAGCAGAGAGCACCTAGGTCTGGATAGGACCCTGCCGCCTCCCTGACTTCTAAGCAGGTAGTTGCTCCAGAGGTTGGTTTAACCCGCATGTCTCCCGCCTCTCTGACCTCAGTCACCTGGACCTGTAGATAGTGCACTCCTGCTTACTTAAGCCACATTCACTGCCCCAGGCAGCCACCCTTCTTCCTATTTAGCAGCTCCAGGCTGCCACCTACCACCCCCTCTTACCTGGCGCCACCCTTGCACCAAAATTCCCAGGGAATTTGATCCCCATGTTACAGATGGGGAAACTGAGGCACCAAGTGGGTAGAGGGTAGACGACCCGCCAAGGGTATAGATTCAAGACTTGAACTGGGGGCGCCTGGGTGGCTCAGTCAGTTAAGCGTCTGCCTTCGGCCCAGGTCATGATCCTATGGTCCTGGGATCGAGCCCCACATTGGGCTCCTTGCTCAGCAGAGAACCTGCTTCTCCTTCTCTCTCCTTCTGCTTGTGCTCTCTCTGTCAAATAAATAAACTCTTAAAAAAACAAACAAGCAAACAACAAAGACTTGAACTGGGTAGTCTGGCTCCAGACCCGGTGCTCTTAATCCTTCTTGAACCTTGGCCAAACCTAGACCCAGCCCAACTGTGCCCTGGGTACATCCCCAATTAGATTTTCCTACTGAGACTTTGGAACCAGAGGAAATAGGCATAATCTAATCTTATTTAAGAGTTGTGGCCCTGTTAGATAGGAAGCATTTGAAAATATATGTGCCTGCATGTAGAAAATTCAGAATAAAGTCCAGTAAGGCTTGGATTCGCTGAATCTAATCCAATGGTGAGGAAACCTGACCAGAGGGTGTATTCAAACCTCCATTAGCTGGAAAAATTAGATAACTGGGACCCAGGCACAGGACTGTTCCACCACCCCTTTTGGAGTCCTTATTGGCACAGAGATTATAAAGGGGACTCACTGTGGCCCGTCATGGTCTCGGGATTGCAGGAGACCGGAGAACCCCGAGTCACGGCCAAACTATTACATCAATAGGCAGCCTCAGTTGGCTGGGAAAATCGCTCCAAATCCCTGAGGATGGTAAAATGTTTTCCTTAGGAGGTGTCTTTAACCCCGAAAAGGCCAGAACTTAACAGTGATCATTAAATTGTGCCAAATATGGTAGCAACATGAGATTTGTAAGTTGAGTTTCAAGTTGCACTACTGAGTCCATTATTTCAAGAAAGAGACTGTTTTTAAAGCCAAAACATGTGCACAAAACGTCGTCTTAAAAACACCAGCAACGTCATCAGCAAACCCACAGGCCTCTGTGTTTGCCGGTTGCCTGCAAGCATTCAGCCCTGTCCCTGTGTGTCAGGGTGGGCCTTTGTTGGCAGAGGGGCCAGGGCGTGAACCCCAACTCACACTGGGTATTTTGACCTCTGTGAAACCCAGTCCACCAATGGTAAAAATGGGGGTTAATTCAGCCTTCCCCCACATACATCCGTGGGCCAGCCGTCGCTCTGGCGCTGGTTGGTGTCAAAGGACAGAGAACACCCCTGGTCTCCCGGAGTGTACATCACGAGAGGAGCAGGTGGGAAAATA